GCTATCGAATCCTCGAACACATTTCTCGCCTGTCGGTAGAGTCCCCTTCGAGAAATTTGATCCCAGGAATTCTAGGGAGACAAAGGCGGACAGCGATGCGTCCCAGCTCCCAAATTCCCAAGGGTTAAACTCGAACACCGTAGTGTTCGCGGGTACTAGAATCTCTCCTGGAGCTCGGCCATCAGCGATAACCAAGGGCATGGGCATGGTTCCAGCCTGGAAGCCCTTGCTGAGAGCAATCGACGACCAGGTATAACTGACACCACCTTCAGGCGCGTTGATGAGTTGGTAAGAGAGAGAGCGACCCCTGATGTGTGACAGTGAGCTTTGCTTTCTTTCTTCAGCGCGCACAGGCAACAGAAGCATACCAGTAATCCGTGATAGACACCTCATACCCGGCGTCCGATTTCCCATCCACCGCACTCAACAACTGTGAATAGTACTTCGCCGTGCTGATGTTCCATTCGGTACTTTCAGTTGGACCACTGAAGACAGAATCCTGAAACTGCCAGACAGAACCATTGTCCCGCAGCGACGATACATCTGAAAAATTGTTCATATAGATCGACCCAACCAACCAGCTTCCACCACTCAGGCCTGAAAGATAAGTAGCCGACTGTAGGATACCTCCCACCTGGCCTTTGAGAGTTGAGTTCGTGGTCCGATTATCAAACGCCTGCAGTGCACCTCCGCCATTCATCAAGGCTCGATAGCCACCGCCAGACACTGCAAGTCCGATATTGGGTAAGGCAGACGCATTAGCTGAATGGTTATCAACATAGACAGACCCATTGAAAGAACCGAGGTCGACTCGGCTGAGAAACGCTTTCAGGGCGTCTCTGGTATTGTTTCTTCGGGCTTTCAGCCAGGAGGTCTCGGCAGTCGATAGGGAAGTGGCATTGCGGACTGATGGCCGATTCGAAGGGCAGACCTCGCCTTCGGGGGTGTATCCGTTGGGTGCATTAGGCAATGCCCGATTGAGAGGAATAGTGACTAACGAAGCTCCTTTGGCAGGGACTGAAGATTTGGTTCTTAGCACATATAATGCCGTAAAATTAGTCAAGACGGGCGAAAGCTACTTACAACGAGGTAGTAGTAAGACTATGAGGAAGAACAGATAAAGCAGGGTAATACTGGGCACATTCAGACGATTCTTATACATATTGGTGATGATGAATAGATACATTGTTGAATGAAGCTTGTGCAAATTGTAGTATACCAAGGTATTTAATTTCTATTTGGTGTTGAAAGGCGTCAAGATGTATACCTAGCCTTGAGCTAAGAGTTGGCTGTAATGTTTTCACACAGATGCTTCTCGTAAATGGGATGACCATGGTGGACTAATATAATGTTATTAGAGTCAGAAGCACATCTTTTAATGAACACGGCTGGAATTGTCCAGTGGTGACATAAATTCAATCTGAGATCAAAGCGCACCATGGTTCATTAAACCCATGAGTCGTTGACTATACAAATTTTGGCTCATAATGACAGCATACCAGCCACGTGGAACACTGGAACAGACTTCTTGTGAGATCATATGGAATAAGAAGAATCCAGATCAAGTGATTGAGTAGGAAACTAAACTTTAGCTTTCATGATGAAAATCTGTCTATCGTTGTCTGCCATTAAGATTCAACATGCTGGTAATGGAAAGTGGCATGATACCAAGACCGTCGTCCAACATTCTAAATAAATTCATAACACAAGCTACTTGTGAGAAGAATTACGATAATTCTTTCTTACTTTGTGTGTCTTTGCATGTCTCATCATTAATCATATCAGGTATCTAGTCTATATGCTATGCAATCATTAAACATCGTAATGCTTCTTTGTCTCCGGATAGACAGGAGCACCAGCCGATCGACTCTTGCTTCTCAGCCAAGGGCCGTACACCATGAATGCAATTGGAATTGGCACCATTAATGCGGCAATGCAGCCCAGCATCGTCCCAGCCCATTGCACGCCAAGATTCTCCATCATCTGTCGGGAAAAGAGGGGAAATGCGCATCCGACTGCGGATCGGAGGATAGTGTTTGCTGCGATCGTGGAGGCAGCCCTGGCACCATTAGTAGGGCGATATATATAGTGAAGGAGCAGACTTACAATGTAGGATAGCAGTCGACGATGTAGTTGAAGCACTGTAGGAAGATGCAGAAGATGCCGAAGCCAGTAAGAATGCCCGAAGAAATAGGCACCATCCAGTGAATAGACGAGGTATAGCCAGTCCAGCCGAACCTGCAGCAGTCAGTAAAAGTTATAATATATAGAGTACAGCAGGTAAATCATACCAAAACATGTCCGCAGCAAAGGTGACTCCTCCAACGATGGCTGGAGGGAGACGCCACTCGGGCACGGGAACGTCTCCATTGGCAGCCAGCTTCTTGGTATACGAGCCTTGGAGTAACAAGATGAACACGCCACCCAGTAATTCTCCAACGATCAAGCCGACGAACGCCAGACCTCCATCACCCATGTTCATCCCGTACACCCCCTGGAAGACGACGGGGTATGCGCCAAGCAGGGCATAGATGAGCCCATAGATAAACGAGATATACAGCGAGATAAGCAGCAGAATCGGCTCTGTGAACAGCATCTTCAACGGCCGGGTGAAATTATTCCGCACCAGCTCATGGAAGTCAACCTCAACCTCATCCTGCTTCGCATGGATACCCCAATTATGCGTCTGCCGACGCAGCGTCGCCGCCTTGCGCACCAGAATAACAGGCGCATACGTCTCATCCAGGAACAGCACGACGAGCACAAAGCCCACAAACACCATTATCGCGGAGATGTACATCGTCCAGCGCCAACCGAGCGCACTCATCGTGATGAACCCGCCGACAAACGGCGCCGCAAACGGACCGATAAACACGGCCATGCAGAAGATGGACATGACGATCCCGCGCTGCGCATTGTTAAACAGATCCGCAAAGACAGCAGGCACAACTGCAATCGGGCTGGCGGCGAACAAGCCCGCGAAGAACCGGCAGATCATCAGAGTCTGAAAGTCTTTTCCCGTTGCGCAGCCGACGGTGAAGATCCCGCATCCCAGGAGGCCCAGAGACAGCGGCCAGCGCCGTCCGATGAGCTCCGAGGCGGGGGCCCAGATGGTTGGGCCGGCGGCGAAGCCGAGCACGTACAGCGTGACGCCGAGCGAGCCGACTTCCTGGCTGACGTGGAATTCCTTGCTGGCGGAGGCAATGGCTGCTGCGAAAACGGCGCTGGCGAATGAGCCGGCGAAGGTGCCGTAGCAGAGAATGCAGACCAGGAAGATTCTGTCGATCCAGCATTAGTATCTTCCTAGGGCAACTATGTACGAGGGAATGCTACCTTCGTGTCATGGACCAGTTGTACGGGTGTAGGGGATCCTCTGCTCCATCGAATTCGACGACGTACGTTTCCGGATCGGGAAGTAAGGGAGGGTATTCCTTGCCGGCGCCCATGGGTAGCCATGCATCGCGGGGTGCAGGGCCGCGTGTGGAGCCCACGGTCGTCTTTTGCTGCAGTCGGTAGGTGTTGATGCGGGTGAGTTCGAGGGGTTCGAGGTGGTCTACCGTTTCGTCGGAGAGGCAGTCGCTGGCGCTGTCGAGGGGTTGGCCGCCATGGTGGTCATCATGGAAAGCCTTGGGCGAATGCGGATCCAGAGTGGAAGTCTCTGGGTTGTCCATTCTCCGGTCAGAGAGCTGCTGCTTTGCTTTGGGGTCTACGGTTCTACAGCTCTAAGGAGCTTCTCTCTAGTATATAACTCCATCAGCCCACGTTCAGGCCGCGGTGGATCACACAATTTTTTCATGGTTGGGTGTCAGTTGCCATCAATGGCTGCCAGATGGAGCTCATTGTCATGTAGGAGATCCATACTTTTCCGAAGTTTTATATAACATTTATAGAAGCTGGCCAGAACGCAGGCACACCCGCCTGCATCAGCCACAAGGGACATCCCGATGTGCCGCATTGCCCAATGGCTTTTCGCCAATCTGCCAGGCACAGTTGATAAAGAATCGGCTATGTCCGGCACTGTGGCTAGTGAATCGTCCTAATGGTGTGAAAATTTTCCATCCAACGCACGTGAGCGAGGATAGCCGCGTCTGTCCGAATCTGGCCGAGAGTATCCGTTATCAATTCAAGGCAGAGCATCCGAATTGGAAATATCCCGAGAATAAGATCAGAACATCCGATATGGCCATAATCGATGCCGGGAATCCGGTTGGTGTACGGAATATTTCAGTCAAGGATTTCGCTGAGGCCTGGTGATCCATGACGGGAGGGCTTTCCGCTGTCTTACTTCCGTCATGCATGACATATTATGGACAGACATTCACCTAGTTACTAGAAGAGTCGATGATAAAAGTTCCTCCAGTATCTATAAATAAGTCGGGATTGAAATGGAGGGATTTGCCAGCAGACCATGCCTTGACTATATAGCTTTGCTGATTAAGGGGTAACGTAGGGAAGAAGCGGTCTCATCCGTGGAATATATTCCACAACCCCATGAAAAAGAAACTGCCCTGGATAAGTAGGATTATGTCAAGCTCGCTGTCAGGGCAGGAAGCATGCGTGCCAGATACTGTTTGTTTAAGGTTAAGAATGTCCTCTGTCTTGGAGGACTACACTGCTCCAATTCTCTGAGTTCAGCATAGCCTCACCTGCTCCCGGGAAATATCAAATCATTATCCGCAAGAGATGCTTGGTTTCTCTATATTCCACATGAAAGCCCCACATGAAGTAGATTGAGATTTAAGACCAGAATGCTGATATTCAAATCCGCACATATCACGTCATAATATATTCCTTTCATAACAGAATGTCCACTGCCACATACCCTGTCTTCAGGCTTTTCGCATTTCACCACAGGACCTAATACGCACAGGTAGCAGTGTCCTTCACCGAGACTAATTCCAAGGTATCTACCAGGAAAAACACCATAAGCCCAATTTCGCGAGGTGCTCGAGCGCGCCCAGAAATACGGCTACCACAAGATTATCCTCACCATGACGACATTAGCCGGGTGCACGAGATCCTAAATAGTCAAGCAGTATCCCAACACCTGCACAATGACCCTCGGGGAGCATCTGTACCATGCTGCCGAGATCCACCACGCGGACGACGAGACATACAACTTTGCAACGAGCTGAGGGCCCAATCCCCCTGCCCGCTAGTCGCCCTCGGGGAGATCGGCTAGACTGTGTGTATCTCGAGTGCTCGGACAAGGAGACGCAGCGGCGCGCGTTCAGCGAGCAGCTTTTCTTGATGTTTGGATGCGGCTGCAGCTCGCCTTCTTTCTGCGTGTGGGGGACTTCTGCACGGACCTTGAGGAGATCGTCACTCCGTATCCGGCGAGACTGCCGCGAGGTGGACTCGTTTTGCTGGATGAAAGACGAGATGCTGCAGCTTGTGGCGCTGGGATTCGGGATCAGTGTTGATGGGGTTTCGTTGCGGAGGGAGGAGCAGTTGAGATGTGTGAGGAGTATTCCGCTTGGCAGCTTATAGCTGGAGACTAATGCGCCTTGGTGCGGGATTGGTGAGCATGGGCTCATGCCGTTCCTGGCTCGTGTGAGGTTGTTTCTGTCGGCGTGGGAGCAGGGCAAGTGTATCAAGGGCAGATGGTCAAGGGACGGAATGAGAGTTGTACGATGGAGGAGGAGTGTTGGTTGTGGGAGGTTTTGAAGGAATCTCAGTGGAGGAGGTGGCTCGGATTGCCTGGAATAGTGTACGGATGTTTGGATTAGCCGCTAGAGGTGGAATAATGTATAATGGACTATAATGTATTTAGGACTCCATACAGTATGTATAGCTGAGAGTGCTGACTAGGCGTGACTTACGTCTTCCCCCTCTGCCGTATCTTCCTTTCTGCCGGGTCGGAATCCAACCATGTCCTCAATGGGAGTTTCCAAAGGTTGACAGAGTCAAATCGGTCCGGGACGTCCTTTTGAATACTGTCTAGTATTCGTCCGGATTGCCGGCCCTGTTGAGGCTCATTCCTGGCTAATTCCACCACCGATTACACCTCCGATATATATCAGTACGACCTCATAGCGATAGGGATTCCCAAAAAATATGACAATCCGGTCGAGCCACGTCTCTTTACTAGCCTCACCTGTCCCCAGACACCAACAACGGCTTTGTCTCCAGGGTTCCTGGTCCTTAAGTCGACTATGAGCCGAGCTTTCGTCAGAGGGCGTACATCGACGATCGACTTAACCTCTGCCAAAAAGGCCAGATACGTTTGGATTAGAGGGATCTGCACAGCCGGGGAAAGGGATAGAGGACTGAGGTCTCGGACTGATACTTGAAACCGAGGGTCGTATTGCTTGAGGTTCTCTGCGGGTTGAGGAGATACTGGGGACGATGTGCTTTCACCAGGTGCTAGATTCACTGTCGCTGTTGTCAAAGTATCGGTCAATCCACAGTCTAGTAGGTCACCAACGTTGGAAATCTAGGGAAATGTATTACCCACTTGAACACATGTACCCGGCTCGGCCAAAAGCAGCGCAGATGCTAGGTAGATAACCCCTGCGCCGATCATACCAACGTCCATTCCACACTCAACGAGGGATTTGCCCGTCGAACAACGAGAAATATCCACGATGGTCATATAGGATAGACTCATGGTCAAGCGGACGGGATCGGTCAGAGGACTAATGGTAAGCGAATACATAATCAAGCATTTCAGAAGCGCATGCAGCGGAAGAGCAGGAATTTCAGCATATCTTGACCGACATTGCATGCTGAGTTGACTTAGTCGTGTCGTTGCAGTCTAGCTGTTTTACCATAGCCGCGTAAAGAGTTAACAAATATTATCAGATGGCGCCATGGACGGTCCAGAATAGCCATATGACCAACTAAGCACTGTTCACATGGATTCAACTCATAATAAGGCAGCCCAGCCAGTCAGCACGTTAACGTTGACTGAGAACCCCAGAGTCGTACCATAGATAGTGATACTCCACTGTGCGGGACAGCGGGCGAGACCCAAGGTGCCACAAAACTCAAAGGAATAAGGCATTGTAAGTTTGTAACCATGTAAGTTTGGATTCGTAGGCCAAGATGGCCATGACATATTTCATTACAACGGCTTATTTGCCGCGACATTCTCCCGATATCATCGATCTTACTCTGTAGTGGACTGGACAGTGGGCCTCCTGTCGGGAACAAGTTGCCAAAGCCCCCTGGTCAAAGAATAGACCACCGGAAAATGTCAGTATCAGTATCATTCTGAAGGACCAGAAAGCTTATCATTGACGGTCAAACGACTGTGGATATGGATTATGGAACTGAACGGGAGAGGAGACCTTCCGGAAGCATGGCAGCATGAACCCGGAAGACAATTTGCACCGTTATCATGCCATGCGCCGGACGGCCAATCAAACCCAGGCAAAATCAGAGGATCAGAAGTACGAAGCCAGAGGCCAGCCCGCGGATAAGTTCAGCCCAGCCCGGAACGGGAAAGAAACGCGACGGATCAGTGGGTCGAGACACGGGTTGGCCGGATCCTCCTCGTAATTAATGATGATCATAACCAGAGCAGATGAGGGATAGTCATTGCTTTTGCTGGTTCTGCTTTTTATGCAGGCTGCAAACGTACATATCTCCGGCCTGTCAATATTATTCTCTTGTTTGACCCAGCGGAATGGTTATGATGTCTCCATCCATGGGAGTCAGTGCGAGTGCCACGCCTATCACACCCTAACAAAAGGCTAGAGCCACACCGACCAGCAAAAGGAAGAGGGTCTAACGTCCATAGCGTCTGTTAGCAGCCGGGGATAAAGCTATTGTTTCCCAAGGGAGCAATCCTTCACTCCACCCGGACCCGAGCCAACGCTCGCATGGCTTCTGACTAGCTAGAAAAAGGGCCCGTGGCACTTCAGGATTCCACCATGACTGCGCTGGTTCCCGAAGTCTCCATCCGGTTGCCCGCCTGCCGTGAAGAAAAGCACGGGCATACTTCACAGTCTGCACCTGGGTCATTTGGGGAGCCTGGAAAACCTTGGATGAGTTTCCCGCTTCTCATCGTTGGAAGTTAATGCACGGCTGTCCTCCTGGATCTTCAGTCTCCACTCATTGGTTCCCTTTTACGGAGCAGACCGAATGAGACACCCACAGAAAAGCTAGTAGACTAGACTACGACGTGGAAACTCAAACTGAATTCACACGCACTGTGCCCCCCAGGCCAGTCTGATGGGTCAGAGCACTGGCCACAGCTCGAGTGAATGGCACTCCTCGACTTTTTTTTTAAAACCTGTCGACGGCCAACCCGACCCGGCACCATGGTTCTGGTGAGCTGGAGTTTCCCTTCTGCATGAACCACACCTGCAATTGACTCCCTGTCAACAATGGAACTGCTACGTCTCCTGCTTTCACATCCAGTGGCTTCGGCCGTCGCTCTCGGGGCAGTCTACTTGCTCTGGGTGGTCCTCGACAGGCTGTATCTGTCTCCCATTGCCCGTTTCCCTGGGCCCAAACTCGCGGCGCTGACACATCTGTACGAGTTTTACTGGGATACCATCTGCTGCGGACAGTTCACCTTTCAGATTGGCCGCCTTCATGAGAAATATGGTAAGTCCCCCTAACCGTTGGCTGCGTTTTGAATCCAGCCCGTCCAGTTCGATAGATCACTTCTTGGCATTAATCCTTGTCGGCTTGACATTGTACTAATGTCATACAGGCCCCATCGTGCGCATCAGCCCGACCGAACTGCACATCAATGACCCCGACTACTACGAAGTCCTCTACTCGCGCGACAGCCCCCGCAACAAATATGAATACTACCAAAAGACCCTCAATGCCCCCCTGGCCCTCCTCAACACGATCGACCACCATCTCCACCGCCAGCTCCGCGCCCAGCTGAACCCCTTCTTCTCCAACGCGCGCATCCGCAAACAGGAACCCGCCATCAAGGCCCTCGTTGACAAGCTCTGCCGTCGCCTCGAGGAGCTCAAGAACACCGACCAGCCGCTCAACATCGAGCACGCGCTCACCTGCTACACCACCGATGTCATCACCGACTACAGCCTGGGCGACGGGTACCACTACCTCGACGCCCCCGACTTCATCCCGCAGTGGTTCGGCACGCTGAACGGCACCGCCAAGACGATGGTGTTTATCCGTCCGGTGGCGTGGGCGCTGCCGTTGCTGCTTGCCCTGCCGGAGCGGGTCACCGCGTGGCTGAACCCCGGGATGGAGCTGTTTTTCGATTTCCAGCGGCGGTGCCGCAAGATGATCAAGCAGATTGTTGCGGCGCATAATGAGAAGGGCGACAAGGCTGTGCAGAATGCGGCGTCGGTGAATATCTTCGAGGATATCCTCCGGAGTGATCTGCCGGCGAAGAACAAGAGTGAGACCCGGCTGGCGCAGGAGATGCAGGTGCTTGTTTCTGCGGGGGCGGAGACCACCGCCAAGGCCATCACCTATATTCTGTTTTATTTGCTGAATGACCCTGAGACGATGAAGAAGCTCAAGGCTGAGCTGGAGACGGTGGGCGAGGATCCGCCACTGATTCAATTGGAGCAGTTGCCTTACCTGGTGAGTTGTCATGGCAATATGCTGGGCCGGCTGATACTGATGCTGTCACAGACCGGTGTGATGTTGGAGGGAATTAGGTACGCCCTACACTGAGTCCGTCTAGAGTGAGTCTAACATATCTAGACTGTCCTACGGCGTCTCTGCCCGTCTTCCGCGAATCGCCCCCTACAACGCCCTCAAGTTCAGAGACTGGACTATTCCTCCTGGAGTATGCACCCCGACCTCATTAATGACCAGTACTGACCTCCACAGACCCCCGTTAGCATGAGCTGCCTGTTAATGCACCACAACGAAACCGTCTTTCCCGACTCGCACCGCTTCAAGCCCGAGCGCTGGCTGGACTCCGCCGAGCGCAAACGCCTGGAAAAGTACATGGTCGCTTTCTCAAAGGGTTCGCGCCAGTGTATCGGAATGCAGTACGTATGTCTCACTCCTTGACGCACGGTTACTAACTTGGTCGACCAGTCTCGCCAAAGCAGAAATCCTCTTGTCCGTGCCGGCCCTCCTCCGCAGAATGGACCTGGAACTGTACGAGACCACCGTGGAAGACGTAGCCATCAAGCACGACATTTTCATTCCCTTCCCTCGGATGGATAGCAAGGGTGTGCGGGTGTTGATCAAGGGTTGATTTGACGTTGACATGCTGAAAACCATCTGTACCTACCACTTTCCTTTACGATAATCAGTAATGTCTTTCAAAATCTATCCACGAGTACAATTGCAATGAGACAGATTAGGTCACTACCCAAACATCTTCTCCTCCTCCAGAAACCTCCTCTCCTCCTCGCTCGTCACCCTCCCCAACGCCGCATTCCGATGCGGAAACCGCCCAAACTGCGCAACAGGCTCATAATGCTCCCTCTGCACCCGGGAATGCATGTTCAGGTGCTCCTCTAGCCTCAGCCGATTCTCCAAAAGAATACGGCGACACTCCGCCTCGTCGTCTGATAACCCCGTCGCATCCCCGTCAAGCAGACGGGTGAAATCCTCCGCCATCTCCTCATACTTGACCCGCGCAAGCTCCTGCATGTCTAGATCCTCAGCATGGATAAACGGCAAATAGAACCATATGCGCTGGCCCTGGCGGTAGCGGAAGGGACTCGGAATGCGATTGCCGGATGGGTATCCTGCGTCTGCAGCTTTGAGGGCGATAGTTCTCGCGAGGGGGTCAAAGAACTCAAAGACGATGCGGGCTGATTCGCCGCGGTAGATGTTGCGGGGGAGTTGATCCAGCAGGATGATAAGGGCTAGCCAGTCTTGTGGGGTGGAGGGGTTAGCCCGCGAGAGGACGTCCTCTGCGGAGGCGCTGGCCTCGCGGATGGCGGCGAGGATGGGCGAGAATTGCGACCTAGATGATTAGCTGGAGCTATACATGATGGGGATGAGACGTACGAGCATGCGCTGTCGAACTCGTCGGATTTGAAGAACCATTTCTTCCAGTCTTCCGCGGAGGGGAGGAGCAGGCGCGCGTTTGAGGGGATGTGCTGGAACCAGAAGGTGTAGACCTGGCCGAGAAGGGAGGGGCCGAGGAGCTGGTCCAGCGTCGCAGATTGCTTGTTTGCCATTGTTGAAGACGCTCTTCGATACTGTGATGTGGATTTGGCAATTGTATATGATACACGTTGGCTGGGATACGGAATGCTGCTGTGCTGGGTGGATAAGGCGGTTGAGAGCGTGTGCCTCGCGACGCAGTTTTCCCAGATCAAACAGCGAGGGAACTGCCTCCTAATTAATAACCTACGAGAGACGGGCAGCATCTTTGAATATTCAAGAGGTGTTGGTGCATTGGACTTTATACGAGGGTGTCGGACGCGGAATGTCGCGAGGCCGAATCCTGACTAATTGATATGATGTTTTGAGGCGCTAAACGCATGCTGATTGGCTGAGTCAATGTTTAGAAACATGTTTCGTTCTCACTTTTGCAATCTCCGCCGTACTGAAGTCATACTCCCAGCTAATCGTGTTCCACTTCCCCAATCTAATTGCGCCGCACCTTCGTCCCCGAACGAGTGGATCATGAGTGTATTTCGCTAAAGACGACAGAGTATGTATTCAGCGGAAATGATCGAGGTATTACGCCTTACATAGGTATCTCATAGCTGATTCAGTCGGCCATCGCTGTACTCGTAGTACACTCTGCTCAAGAGACGATCAAATTCCCCGCATTTGCCCAGTTGCAACAGTTAGCTAGCTTAGCGAGGAGCGGTTGGTACCGCATCTAAATGGGTAAGTTCAAATAAGACACATATCTGTGGCTACCGGGTCCATGGTACAGGATAAGTGGATTTCTCCACTTCCATTTTACAGCATTAAACCATCCTGCATTCCTCGTATGATCCACATATCAACGTGGGAATCTACGAGCGACGTATCGTTTTGGGGGGTGAGTTGATACGGAGCCGCTGGATCTGAGGAATGTCAAGCGGATTGGTATTATGATTCGCAGGTATGTGTTATTTCACAGGTATACATGATATTGACATGTGCTAGTTCCTTCGGGACACAAGAAGGCGCCTTTCGCTGGATATGCCTCCATCGCTGAGTTCTGTAGAGACGTATGAGATGTTCGAGGACTGCGAATTCCAATTGACGAGAGACATGCCGGTTCAGCAAGACGAGCGGATGGCAATAGCTATTGCTGCTGAACACTAATCCTTCTTTGCATCGCCCCCCAACTCATCCAATCCCGTCCCTTTCACCAAACCAATATCCTACAACCATCAGCATCAGCTGCGATTGACAAAGAAGACAAAAACTCACCATAATCCTCTGCGGCAAATATGTCGAGCCAAACCAAACACTCCCAGCCATATTCCCACACCAGAATTTCCCCTGCCGCCCCGCCGTGATCGCCCTGACAACCCGCGCCGCATACTCCTCCGCGGTCATCCGAGTCGCCCCATCCTCGCCGCCCGCTCTCGCAACCACAGTATCCTCGACAGTCTTGTACAGCGAGTCCTCAGGAAGCCTGAGATCATCAAAATACGTCTGCCCGTTCGTCCTCACCGCCCCAGTAACAATCGACAGGACTTTGACGTTGAAGGGGGCCATTTCCAGCCGGAGCGTCTCGGCGATGATCTCCAGGGAGCGCTTGGAAGCGCTATACACCCCCTACTTACATTGATAAAGGTTCACGCATACAGAAATTGACAAGACATACCCATGTACGGCGTATTCACATACCCCGCAATCGACGTGATAAACACCATGCTCCCCCGCGCGTTGATCACCAGCGGCGCAAATGCCTTGGTAATCGCCAGTGGGCCGAAGACGTTCGTCTCGTAGATGCGGCGCGCGGCGTCGAGGTCCTCGTCCAGCACTGGCATGAAGTGGTTTCGGCCGGCGTTGTTGATGAGGTAGGTTAGGGAGCCGGCTGTTGCGTTACGGACTGTGTCTACGGCGGTGGTGATGTGTGTAAGGTTTGTTACGTCGAGGGTGAGGAGGGTGATGTTGGGGATGTTGTGGAGAGCGGTCATCTTGGAGGGGTTGCGTGCTGTTGCGAAGACGTGGTAGTTCTTTGCTTGGAAGGCAAGGGCGAGGGCGGAGCCGATGCCGCCGTCGCTGCAGCCGGTTATGAGGACGGAGCCGTTTGTCATTTTGCGGGTGCTTGACTATGGTCTTTGATGGGGACCAGTCAGTCAGCATTAGTGGTTCTGGATGATGCTGAAGCCGAGGGGTACGCTCGTCGTCTAATAAGTGCCTGCACGGGAAGCCAATGAGATGGGAGTATCCCTTTGACATTGAGACGAGCTAGACAATCAGAGAACTGAACTGAATTGTTGGTTCCAAGCTTCTAACGCAATGTGTGATGACCGGATAATGGAATGGTAAATGTTGTGTCCCTGCTGTGTTGCCCCTACTACTACTATCCCTACTAGCTAGAGATGGTTGTCTGGACGCCTTTTTGGCTGAGTGGTTGGATATGACAGTAAATAGCTGCCCTACACAAGAAGAACACCGCCAATCCAGCAAGCAGATACCCGAATGACTCGCAGGCATAGTCCTACTGTCCTCTAGATTATCTACAAAATATTTCTCTTTCTCCCTGTCAACTAGCTAATAGCCTTCTCATCCCACGCCATTAGACCACTAGCAAGTATCCAGCATGCTCACAAGAGCGCTCTTCTCAGCCGAGGTAATGGTCAGATCATACACATACTTGACCCTCACCCACATCTTCGCATACGTGCAATAATACGAAGCTAGCCCGTTAGCATCATCATACACCCCAGAGACGAAAAGAAACTTACTGAGAGGAGGCTTCCAGGCCTCGGGTCCATCATCGCCCTTGGCCTGGTTGACGTTATCCGTCACCGCCATCAGCTGCGGGTTCGTCAGGTCGTTCGCAAACGCCTGGCGCTGCGTGGTTGTCCATTTAGATGCACCGGACTATTGACAGGTTAGCAAACCGGCGATAGGAGGATGGGACGGTCACTCACTCTCCAGGCGTTGGCGAGGGGAACAACGTGGTCAATGTCCACGTCGCTGGCCTGCGTCCAGGTGGCTCCGTCGTAGGGAGAGTACCACGATCCGCTGGTGGGGTAGCAGCTGGAATCTTTGACGATGTTGGTGCCGTCGCGGGCGAGCACAACCTCGCGAGTATTGCAGGAGCTGAGCCGTTAGCTTGGCTTGCCAGGGGGAGGGATTTACGTACCCTCCTTGACTAATCCAGTGGGGGAAGAGGCTGCGCGAGTATCCGTCTTCGGAGCCTTGCGCCGCGACGGTCAGCGCAGCCAGCTCGGACTCTGCAGTGGCGGCAGAGGGGATTCCTGGGGGAGTTGGGAGAGCAACTGGCGCCGGGATGGCTGCCACGAGGGGGATGCCCAGAAGGATGGAGAGGAAAAGGCGAGTCATGATGTCTTGTCGAGATACTGTGAGGAGCTGTAGAAGAAGAGCAAGACCTGATGTATCGCGGAATCAAGCCATTTATATATCTCGAGGTAATATATCTACAAGACACCTCGTATCTCAACCCCCTCGCAGCCTACCCAGTCAAATCTTCACGAGGATCCCCTGCGGCATACCAGACCTCTTGGCAATATCCCCCAAGGCGCATACCAAGAATAATTGGCCGTATGTGCAATACTACCACTCTATTCGAGGATACACTTCCTCGTTTTTCCGTCTTGAAATATTAGTGATAACGCATCTTCAGACAAGAGCGGCATCTTATGGACTTATCGCCGGATCTTGGCATCGATATCTCGTCCACGCTCAGCCAGCACCACAGCTGATTCGCTAGATCCTCGGTGATCGACAGGCGCGTGTTTAATATAGAAAGGGAGGCGTTACTCTCTCCGGAGACCGCCGGCAGTCCCTAGGATCATCAATGTAACCTGACAGATTAAGCATTAATGCATGTCATAACGCTCATACTATTATTCAAATTATGTACACGCACTTGACAGGAGCATTAAGCCACACCCAACGCCCGGAGAATCTCCTTGCCCACTCCCGTCGCACTGGCCGGGTTCTGGCCCGTAATGACCGTAGCGCCCGTGCCAGCAGCCTTGGAAACAACCACCTTCTCCCCCCACGGCTCGTCGGCCTTGACGTACCGGTTCCCCGTCACCTTTTGCAGCTCATCCTCCAGCATAAACGGCATCGCAGACGACATCTGCGCCTGGTCTTCCTCGGTATTGGAGAAGCCCGTCACGGTGCAGGCCGAGAGCAGCGGCACCCCCGACGGTGCCTTGGCCTTGAGCAGGACGGTCGGACCATGGCAGACGGCCGCGATGGGCTTCCTGGCGGCAGAGAAGGCTTCGATCAGAGCGATGGAGGTCTCGTCGGAGTGGAGGTCGAACATTGCTACTTTCGTTAGCCACTGCAGCGTCTGTGAGTGAAATAAGGGACATACGGCCATGTCCACCAACGTAGAAGATCGCATCGAATTCAGACGCCTTGGGTAGCACATCGGACAGCTTGACTGTGTTTGTCCAGAGGGACTTTTGCTCGTTCAGGAACTTGGACGCTACGGGGTCGTTCTCGAACATTTTGACGGAGGCGGGATCAAGCGGTGCTTCACCTCCCTTGGGGGAGGCGACGACGAGCTCGGTCTTATCGTGCAGGACTTCCCATGGGTGAGCGAATTCGGGCTGCGGTGGTCAGTCATTTTGCGTCTTACGTTTTGTAGGGGCAACATACCAGGTACCAACCCGTGGGATGACCGTTAGAAGGGATCTTGTCCTGGGATGTCAGGACAACAAGGACTTTTGGAGCCATTTTGCTGACTATGTTGATGGATGTCGACAACTGATCAAACAGTGGGGTGTAGATAGAGGGTTGTTTAGGTTATATACTGTATGGGATGATCACCGATGACATCACTGGCGGACAGCTGCTGCGGGGCTCGTCGTCGGTTTGGAATGCTCTGGATGCTGCAATAATAATACCTACTAATAATGGACGGATGGATGATCTGAATTGAGGACGCCATTCGTTCAAGCTCTGTAGCTTGGGCATCGGCTGCTCCACTGTGTGGACTCAACCCGAACAAGGTTGCCCCGACACCGACAAAAGTCTCCGTGACTGAGGCACGTCTATAGACTGGTCAAATTTGCGACGAATTGTGGTGTTATTAAGCATAGACCTCGAGTAGAATTACCATATTCAATCTGTCCAAATGGTGACCTCGGCAATTCGATGCTTGAAATGCAGAATTTTGCCCATTTTTCAGGCATCGACCGATGTTTCCCGTAGTGGAGCATAACCACTCTGGGATGACGGACCTAGCAAGTTACAATGTCTGCGTCAAATATTCAGTCCTAGCATAGTAGACTGCGACTTACATTTACTCAATCATAATCTGACGTCCATACTCATTGCATGTCTCTTAGGCTATACATCCATGGCTTACAGCTCTCCCCATCATCGCGTATACTACCACTGTACAGTGCTTGATCGTAGAGGCCGACAGTGTATATGTTATTCCAACGATGTATAAGAAGTTGCAGGATTATCAAGAACTACACAACTCTATCTTTCACTCTACCGGCTCACCCAGAGACAATCATCACAAATGCGCCAAAACGGCATCCGCACCGGAAACCTACCACAATTAGCACCCTCCATCTCACCGAAAAGACAAGACATACCTTGACAGCCCCCTTCTCCGTCTCAATCTGCGCATACGTCACCTTCCCATGGTCAATGATAATCGCATACCGGCCCGTCCGTCCCGCATTCGCCCACCCAATGCTATCCGAGAATCTCGCCTGGGGATCAGACAGAAACAGCTACAACATCGTTAGCCAGCCATTTCCCCTCAAGTAAAGTAGCCGTAGCACATACGATATCATCACCCTTGACCTGGTTCGCCTTGCCCCACGCACTCATCACAAACGGATCGTTCGACGCCAGGACAGCAACAATCTGCACGCCCTTTTCCTTTAGCTGGGGAAGGTTCGTGATGTACCCGGGGAGGTGGTTCGCCGAGCAGGTAGGGGTGAAGGCGCCTGTGCTGTTAGATTTCTAGTTGTAATTGACGAATGCAATAAACGAACCAGGAACGGAGAAGAGGACGACTTTCTTATCGGCCCATTCTTTCGACGCGTTGTAGTTGATTGGGATGCCGCAGGCGTTGATCTCGCTGCTTTCCTCCGCGTAGGGGATGTACCTGTCGCTGAGTTAGAGTGAAGTCAACGGGAGGGGGCATTGACAGACTGGAAGACTACGTTGTCGGGGAACTTGTCGCCTGGTTTGAGGGCCATTTTGAGATCTTTTGACAGTGTAGTTTGTTGTTGTTGATGGATTGATGAGAGGGTGGTCTGTTAATGCTGGGATTGCGGGGTGAGGGGGCTTTAAGGCGTCATGGCGGGGTTAATGCAGTGCATAACTGGCTGAGTCATCTGTGCATCGGGGGGCTCCGATGCTTATCATTTACAAGAGGAGTATTTGGGTTTCTGCTGTAATGGGAGAAATGCATATGCATATATTTATCTTCTATCTATAGATTAAATGGCCCTGTCAAACTGCACCGGGACAGTAACCGGCACGCCCAACTTCCTCGCCGTGGAAAACACCCATTCCGGCTCGCGCAGGAACTGACGGGCTATCAGAATGGCATCCGCCTTGGGCTCAGGTCCAGATAGCATTGCCTCGGCGGTAGTCGCCTCGTCCGATCCTTGGACCAGTCCGCTCGCCTGTTCCGCCTCGGTAATCATACCCACGGCACCCACGAGAGTCGACGCTCCAGCGGCTCGAATGGCTTGGCGGATCTGCCCGGCCAAGTCAGTCTGGTAGGCCGTGTGCAGGTTGATCTTCTGGTCTTTGTGATTCCCCGCGGAACTGACATCTACAAGGTCAATGCCCCATTCGGGCAGCTCCTTGACCAGCTCCAGCGAGCTCTGCATGTCCCAGCTGCCCGACTCCGCCGCAACAGCCTGACCCTCCAACCACTCGGTGGCACTGATGCGCAGAAACAGCGGCATCCCCTCGGGGATTACCTCACGGATAGCAGCCGCAACCTCGCGCACGATCCGCGTCCGGTTCGCAAAGCTGCTGCCGTACTCGTCCGTTCGCTTATTCGTCACCGGACTCAGGAACTGGTTGGTGAGATAGCCGTGCGCCCCATGGATCTCGATGACATCCACCCCAGCCTGCACCGCTAACCGCGCGCTCTCCGCAAACGCCGCCACTACCTCTCGCACCTCCGCCGTGCTCAGCGCCCGCGGCGCCCAGTATGCATCCGGCACAGGAGTCCAGATATGCTCCTCCCCGCCGGACGGGCCCACCACATCCGCCGGCCACCCGCCGACGCTCTCATCCGCCTTCAGGCTCGACTTGCCCGCCTGAGCCGCCAGCCAAGGCGCAACGGCACTCGCCTTCCGGCCCGCATGCGCCAGCTGGATCCCGACCTTGGCGCCCTGCGCGTGCATGAACTCGACGACGCGCTTCAGCCCGAGGAATTGTTCCGAGTTGGTACCATCCTGCCAGAGACCGGAGTCGTTGGGGGAGATGCGCCCGTTGGGCTGCACGGCGGTGGCTTCGATGAAGACGAGGCCTGCGCCTTTGAGGGCGAGGTGGCCCAGGTGCGCGAGGTGGTAGTTTGTTAGGGCGCCGACATGGGGCGAGGACGGGTCGGACTCGCACGAGTACATGCACATGGGCGACACAATGATGCGGTTCTTGAGCGTCACATTGCGGATTTGCAGGGGGCGGAAGAGCGTGGGGGTCTTGGGATCGTCGGGGTGCAGGGCGGCGCCTCCGTTGTTGGCGGGGGTGAAGTAGGGGGCTGCCGGGGACTTGGCGACGGCGGGGGATTGGAAGGCGTGGGAACCCATCTTGCTTCAGGTAATGCAGTTGGACAGATGCGAATGTGTGAGTTGAAGAAAAGGAAGGGAAGACATGATTGCGTTGTATAAATACTCGGCAGAATTGTGTAATTGTGTCTTCCAAGTATGGAATAGAAAGTCTACGGAATATCGGATACGGCAATGAGAGAGGCAGCTGACAAATGCCGCCATATGGCCCGTACTGCCATTGGTCACTTACCCATTATTAACCGCTATTGGCTGATATCCATTGCTGAAAAAGGGAAATGGTCTCACTGATCGGGATTTGTAGTGTTCATATCAACCACAAGTTACTCTGCGTGGTTGATTCCCCATTAGTCCAGTAGGCCGTCAGCATATCCTCCAGCCGTCTCATGGTGCCATTATTGGTCGCCTGCCAGAAGCCCTGGATCTGTGCCAGCAATATCTGTCGGTCTGATTGCTTTTCTGCACAGGTCCCAAGCACCAGGAATGGCCAACTGTAGTACTCGGCAAAGTAATCTTGTGCTGGCCGTAGTTGAGTCACGAGAACCATGGCTTGTGAAACAAGCTCACTGGCCAGGCTGTCTGGTCGATTGTCGGGATGCATGAGGCGATTGAGAAGAATTCGCGAACACAAGACATACAATCTAGGCCCTGCAAGAAGCTCAGGAGCTGCCGTGCCTGCCATTAGACTATCCCACCTTCTCAAATCCTGCTCCAAGTCTTTGCAATGGCGGATATCAACGCCGTCGGGGTACCGTTGGTACATACGTGCGACGCTGTAGACATACTGGAACAGTTTCGGAGGGACCCCGAGCACTGGTGAGGTAGCATCCACGGAAATATGTGGTCGGCAGAGGACCTCCAATAGGTTTTCCGCAAGGGAAAAGGCAGAGTCGATAGGAGCGGATACGGTAGACGTAAGCTGAAAGGGTATGCTCGTGGCGACGTGAAACATGAATGATTCCAGAAATAAGCGGGCCCAGGCACCTGTTGCGATAGTGCTTGCATCTGGAGCTTTCTTTCGGAAATACATCTGAATGAGTTGAGCTGCCCCGGCGAGATGGACGTCAACGCCTTGCGAGTGATGGGGTTTGGATCGCTGTCATTGTTAGGTTTGATCAGAAACATCGCTTCTTTGCTCACCTCATAAATACATAAAATCAGCACTGTCCACAAGACGACTGTCCATTGACTTGAGCCGTGGGCTTGTGTGATGCTCTGTCGCAAACCAGAAACAGCCTTGATGTAATGCAACTCTGCCATTCGCCGGTACTCCGGGTTGTTGACAGGTATTTCTGCCGCAGCACAGGCGAGAAGTGCGTGCATACAGAAAGGAGATTGGAAGGCCCATCGAAGGCTTTCCCTAGTCACCAGCTCGTTCACAGCCCCTTTCGTTACTGGGTGGATGAGCTGTGGAAGGAAGATGGTCTGCAAGAAGCCGAATAGCTGGCTGTTGGCCGGACTTAGGACGGGGGAGTAGCACGCTGGTCCATTTGAGAAGGTGACTATAGATGGTGTCTGAGTGTCAACAAGCTGATATTCTGTGCCTGAGACGGTTTCTGCCGATATGTCGCCGCTCCCAGGAACTGTCACTTGATCATTGGCATGGCTAGCTCTCCTGCCTGGCCAGACGCATTCTATATTTCGTTTGAGGCAGTTCTGACACGGCGATGCCCTCTCATCACACTTCTTCTTCCGCGATCGGCCTAAATGATTAGAAAGTCTCGGGAAATGTGTTGGAGGGCAGCCTACAGGTCAGACATCCAGTCTTTGTCCGCAAATGAGCTGGCCGCCGTCGAGGTCGACGGTACGACTTTTGCGTCCTGGCCGTGCAATCTGCCATCGCACAGCATATATATCAATCGCTCACATATCTTCTGTGAATATTCTAACCCAGCGGAGTAGTCTTTCCTACCAAATAAATGTCAGGGAAACTAGTTAATCGTCCGGTTTCATCGCCACGCGCCAGTCACGCGAGCCCGGTGGAGCTCGGAAATTGCCGGCGTACCAACATGTTGATCTCTGTATTATAGATAGGCGCTAACTACTATCGAATGTTGTGTTTTAATATTAGTCTACATTTTCCCGAACAGCTCATGCTACTTTTGCAACATCTGGCCGCAAAATGGACGCTTAAACGTTAAACCCTACATCAACACACAGCAATATACTCTATAGCCTCGACGTCTCCTTCAACTGCTTCGCCTCAACTGCTTTCCTCGAACTCAGATCCCTCACCACATCCGAAGGCGGCACCCACAGCGCCGGATTCTTCTGAAAGAAATTCGATGCCCGCAGCATCACACTCACCGGCTCCGCAGGCATGATCGGAAAGTCCTCCGTGCGCGGGAAATGGGTGAGTCCAAACTGGATATAACACACAATATCCGTATTCTCGATGCACTCGTCCCTCGCTGCCCAGTCGACGATCGTCGGATTGTGCGGGTGGTCCTCTTCCCCTGTTGACTGGCACACGTACTGCCCCGCAGGAAAGACCTCGTGGTCACGATAGGGCAGGACCCAGAGCGCGTGGCGCGCGAACCCTGCGCGCTTGTGGACCGTGCTTCCCGGTTTTGCGAGCAGCGGGGGACAGTTATTGTTGAGGATCTTGTAGGCGATGGGCTTGCGGGTGGATGGGTTGAGGTGGGTCGGGTTGGTGATGTCCCATGAGCGGGTGGTTTCATGGCAGTAGTCTGCTGCGCCTTGGAGGGCGGTCCGGAGGGGTGTCTTTTTGGCGTAGAAGCCGTTGCCGTAGGGGTTGGCGGGGGAGCCGACGGGGTCGGCCATGGGGACAGCGTCGCTTTGCACGACGGTGTTGCTGGGGCCGTCGATTTCGGGGTCAACGCGCAGGGAGAAGATGTGCTGGTGGTTCTGGGCGTCGAGGCCGCGGGCGATCTCGGTGCCGAAGGGTGCGGCTTGTTCAGTGGGGTGCAGGCAGTAGGTGTTGAGCATGCCTGTGAGCTTGACTTCGAGTTTGTACGTTCCGTCGAGCGTGAAGGTGTGGTAGAAGGCGTACTCGTAGTTGGCGGCCGTGATGATCTGGGAGATGATGAGTTTGCGGTCGCGAGCTGAGATGACGTTGCCGTCGCGGAAGTCGGTATGCTTGTAGAGGAGCCCGTGGTCTTCTTCGTGAATGCAGATAGCGTTCTCGATAACGGTGGCGTCGCCGGTGGATGTGGCTAGAACGGCATCCAGGTAGTGGATGGCACCCTTGCAGTCGCAGCCGAGCTTGAGCGAGTTGGTCATGAACCCAGAACCATATTCACCCACGTCAAAGGCGTGCTTCTTGTGATGCGGTGGCTTGGGACAGCCGTACGGAACCACCATCTCCACCACACTGACACGGTGAAACAGCTTCCGCTCGCGCTTCTCGTACGGGTCGTCGATCCGGATGTTCGATAACACGATGCCTTCGCGGTAGTTGAACCCAATATGCATTTTGAGTCCGGCCCATTCGATCTCATTGCCATTCATCCTGAATGAGACGCCCTCTGGCTGCGTAATTTCAATGGGCTTTAGGCGATCTGGACGATACTGATGTTTGATAAACTGAGGGAGATAGTTATGCTCGTCCAGAGGCACCGGAGTTCGTTCTCCTTTCACACGTCTGACATCCACGCTGAGGATCTCCTCGGTCTCTGTGTCGGCGACAACCGTAAAATCAAGCGGGTGCGCATACTGATTGTCATGTGGGGAGCTGCGGTAATACGGCAGTGCTTGTTGCAGCCGGCGCTCAAAGCCCCAGCGCTCGTCAATCCCAATGGCCCAGGCGTCAAAATAGACACGGGACATGTCCGTTATGCCAATTTCCCGGCATGCTTCGATCACCCGGGGATCCTTGCTGGCGATGCGCTCGACGATGTTGAGATCATCCAGAGTCAGCGTCGGCATAACATCTTTGACGCTCTTCCAGGATTCAACCTTCCTTGTTGTCAGATTGACAATAGCCTCGGAGATCTCCGGAGTGCCCTTCTTGAGCATGATGGAAAAGACAAGACGGGCGGGACGGGGCCCTGTTCCACCCAGAAAAGCTGTCAGCTCGGCTTTGAGCGGCTCGTGGAGGGTAATGCAATTGAATTTGAGGGCGATTGGGTGCGCATGTTGGCGAAGGAGCGTAGCAGCGGTGGTAATCTCGTCAACAGACAGAGGGTCTAACGTATTAGTATGGCACAGTCTTCTAACAAATTTAAGACATACCTAGTGGATGAATAGACGATGCATAAGAGCGACGCTTTCCAGTGCAGCATTTATCAGCCATGGTTACAGAACTTGCTGTCAAGTATGGGTAGGATTGACTTAGACGTGAAGGCATATAGGCATATTTATATATTTGCAGATTGCACTGCTCGGGTGGACATGCTGATTTGGGTATGGACACAACCAGCCGTCGGATACTTAGTCTCCTCCAGTTCAACATACCACGAGTCCATTCTCAGACCAAGTGAGAGTATTCTGCTGGACAGGAATATGGCAACATCAAAGAAGCCATATGATGCAGTATAGAATCAGCCTGACCAATGGCGTCACTTTCCGCGGTACGATGGGGCTCTCCATCTGCAATTCCTTATCAGCCAATCACAACTGCTGACATGTATCAAGGCATCTCACTGTTCAGCAACGCTCAAAAGGGCAAGTGGAAGAGAATAGTCTTATCTTGAACATATGGCAGAAGAAAGCTGCTTATATATGGCAAGAATAGATCAGTTCACTGGATTTGCCACAGCTGAACTGAACCACCATGAAGACCATCTTCACGAACAGCCGCATATTCTCCCCTTCATCGACCGACCTAAACGCAGACAATGCAGACAATGCATTTGTGGAATCGATGGTCATCAAAGATGATCAAATTACCTATGTGGGTTCACGGGAGGAGGCTCCCTCTGCAGATAATAGAGTCGACCTGAAGAGCCGACTTGTCCTCCCCGGCTTCATCGACGGCCACGTGCACATCCTCAACTTCGGTCTGTCGTTGGGCAAGCTCAACTTGATGGACTGTACATGTCTAGAGGACATTCAGACGGCAATCAAGTCCTTTGCAACGAGTCATCGTACGGCCCCTCGTCTTCTTTGCCGAGGATGGATTCAATCGACGACCAGTGGGATCGCTCTGGCAAGTATGCTGGACGATTTGGACCCACGACCGATCCATATTGAATCCCTAGATCTACACTCAGTTTGGTGCAACTCGGCCACCCTGGAAGTTATGGGTATCTACACTGCACCCGATCCGCCTGGTGGAACGATCCACCGCGACCAGAACAGAAGACCATCAGGTCTCCTGAGCGAAAGTGCCGTGGTTGACATCGTCTGGMCATTTCTCGCAACCGTCACCACCCGAGAAGAAAAGCTAAAAGCCCTTGACCAGGCTTTCACCGCATACACACAAGCCGGATACACCGGCCTCGTCGACATGGCCATGGACGAAACCACCTGGGACGTTCTCCGGCTCTACCGACAACGCAACAATCCACCCCTGCACATTGCAGCATTCTGGCTCGTTCCGTTCTCCGAGAACCAAGAAACCAACTTTCACCACGTGGACCGCGCAATCCAGCTGCACGCCGAGTTCAACCACACCCGCTCCCCCAATCTCTGCGTCATGGGCATAAAGCTCATCTGCGATGGCGTCGTAGACGGCTGCACAGCGGCCCTGAGCCAACCGTACGGCAACCGCACCGACCCTGTCGAGCCGATCTGGCCCGCGGAGATGCTCAAAGCCGTTGTCCAGCGCGCCGACCAAGCAGGCCTGCAATGCGCCATCCACGCCATCGGCGACAAGGCCGTAAAGCAGGCCATCGATGTCCTAGCGGAAGCGGGCACGCCCGGCCGCCGACACCGCATCGAGCATCTCGAGCTCACTGCCCCCGAGGACGCAAGACGGCTGGGAGAGTTGGGGATAACAGCCTCCGTGCAGCCGGTGCACTCCGATCCGGTCTTGTTCCGGGCGTGGCCGGGGCTGATCGGTGATCGGTGCCAGAGGGCTTTTGCGTATAGGGAGTTTGTGGATGGAGGGGCGAGGCTCGCGATTGGGACGGATGCGCCTACGGCGGAGCATTTGCCGTTGCCGAATCTGTATAATGCGACTACGAGGCGTTCGGCGCTGGAACCGGGGGAGCCGAGGGCTACGAATGCGCGTTTCGGATTAGGACTGGCGGAGGCTGTGACTGCTGCGACGGAAGGGGCGGCGTATGCGAGGTTCGCAGAGGGGTGGACAGGGTGCTTGAGGGAAGGGCGGAGAGCTGATTTTGTAGTGTTGGATATGCGGTGGGAAGCAGAGGAGCTGTTGGAGGGCAAGGTGTGCGAGACTTGGTTTGGAGGGAAGAAGGTATACGGTGTAGACAGATGAGGGAGCGCGATCCTTCTGTCCTTGTCAATCTCTTGTTTGTCTCATATTATCGCTCAATCGTCCTCCTCAATCCCTGTGTAACTTCACAATGGGTTTCCCTTTGCCAATGCTATATTAGGCCGTCACAGCTGGATCGTCCACCGGCCGGGGAAAATACTTGATCTGGGTGTTCCCCGTCTGTGCCACCTTCATGACTTCGATAGAGAACCTCGATTGAGCTACGAGGGCTCATAACCTGCCCTGAGCCAGCGGATTAACATAGATATCGATATCAAACCTCACAAGGTTGTTTGACACCCTCAAAGGTGAATCCGACTACACCGTCTGGTTGGAATGCCTCCAGGGATATGTTTGCAGCAGAAATACCAATATTGGAAACTTCTTAAGCGCTAATACACCCTTCCTCCCGCACCTGCTTATCACAATGTAGAACGTGCTCATGTGCGTCAAAGCATCGAACGAGCAGTCAAGGAAGAACGGGCCTTGTAAGCGGGGAAGTGATGAGGACGATGGCAATAACCCGGCCAGTTGCCAGGCATCTATAACGGACTATTAGCATCTCCTCTGGCATATAACATGCACAATCCCATTTGATGCGGAGGTGATACCCCCTGTTCAGCTTTGAATTGCTACTCCATGACACAAAGCATCGTCTTTGTTTCTACGTTTTTAGTGCTTGTGGATGCTCGGAGATCAGTAAATCTAATCATAGAGCCGAGACTGCGCGATCTATGTAACCAGAAAAGCTAGTCCATGATCCAATGCTCTTATGCCCGAGGAGAATAAGGTAAATGTGTGACAATATCCTATAAACCCTAGTATATTAATGCTGCATCTGTTGGTACGTTCGGATCCGAGACCGTTGTCAACGACGCTGCCAGCGCACCATGTTCGAAGTCAGCCGCATTATGGAGGCTGAACGATGTTGTAAACTGGGGTTGCGTAATTAGAGGCGATCCGTTCGTTCCGTTCCACTGGCGGATATTCAAAGCTGCACCGTGGAGTTATTGTCGCTCAAGTCCGATGTGTAACGTATCGGGGCCGGATGTTGCGTGTTGTATACTTTCCATCCCTGGGGAGTAAGCGGCTAGAGCTTTATGGCCTAACTACCGCTAGCAGGGATCATACTTCGGCATGCATATGTGGGCTGTTCTCGGGGCCCAGAACATGTACACCCTCTACCTCGATGCTCCTATGGGGTGATTGCTTGGCTAAATACCTCCGCTTTCAGCTTGAGGAGAACAATTTTCAGGTGACACAGACTCCAGAGAAGAGTGCCGTCCATGCTTCCGTTGAGAAAAGCAGTCCGAATAGAGGGATGCGGTAAATTTGCGAATGCGCATCGAAGCGCACCTACCTATCGCTTATCGATGAAGCGTACAGAAGAGTACGAAGTGGCTGGCCCCCTCACATATAGATGACGAGATCGCAAGTCCCCCGCTGATCCAGCTGAGATCCAAAGCCAGGTTTGAGCGGCTGGTGCTGGGTCCTTGGCAATTATCACAGCTGATGCCTCTCAAATGCTGATCGCTTCGAGATGCCAGTTCAGGAGCCCGTATCAGCCCCGATTTCTGCTATCGAGTACGCTCAGCAAGAACAGAATCAAAGTGGCGTGTGCATGAGCGCTTGGCACCTCTCAGCCGTCTTGCTGACAGCGTTAGGCGGCTGATATCAACACACACTGGGAATTGCAAGAACTCAGCCATGTATCCTTCTTTTCTGTCATCGTATCTTGACCTGCTTTGAGCTGAAGAGTAGACACGACCTTGAGATATAAAGTCCGTTTCCGCACAGTCTTTAGTCAAGCAGAATTATTCCCACATAATTATTTCTCCCGTTCAGCAGGCAACTATTCGCTTCTCACTTTGCTTTTGGATAGTAACATCCTCACCATGTCCGACACCGAAGTTTCTATATCCTCTGCCCCGGTCCAGGACGGAAAGCAATACTCGATCAAGGCCCCTGGAGGCGGAGCTCTAAGCGTCGTCCCAGGAAAATACAAGAACGAAGAGGTCCACATCCGATCCTGGGAAAACGCCAAAAACCAGCTGTGGGTGGCGGAAGCCAACGACGGTGGCTTCGGATTCCGCAACGCAAGTTCGGGAAAGTTGCTGGGGGCCAACAAGAATGGGGATATCGCAGTTGACGCGGATAAGCTGGATTCCTGGGAACGATTCAAGTTCCTGAGCGTTGGGTCCGGATATCTCTTTTGGATTATCTACAACGGCACGCAGCAGTACCTTTACCGGCCTGCCCAGTGGGATTCTCTTCAAATCTCGACTCATCAGTCCAGCGCTATTTCGCTGCAGATTCATGAAGAATGAGGTACGTGGACCTATTCTGGGTTGACTGCTCTGTGCTGACCTTCGAACACTGTTAGCCACCTGCCATTGCCGCCAGCCGAATCTGTGGCCCTGTACGCCAGGCTTCTTATGGGGCATAGCATATGAAGACGCAGAACATCTAGCAGCAAGTCAGATGTAGAAAAGTGGATTCCATGTGGCGCTTCTTCTGTGCTTCTCTCCCTTTTTTCATCTCTCAGTTCTTTGTCAGTTGGAACAGAATGGACAGTAGCTACTCTCATTGATAGTTTGTGTTGGTATATTATGTATTCCTCATTTAGCTAATCGACACGTCTCGTTCTAATACTATACATGTTGAACATCCTGATGCGCTATTATTTCCACTAGCTGGAGATGGTAATCTTGACACCTTTTTAGCCCAGTGCTTTGAGTGCAATCAACAATACATGTTCAGAATCCCCGATCACACCGCTGACAGCAGAGAAAGGAATGCATGAGCTGGACTGTGAAAGGAAAACAAGCTTCCATCCTGCACCATCCTCAACGTCCCTTTTGGCACAAAGTTGCCAGTGGTACTTTCAATCCACATGTGCTCCCGGGTTTGAGTCCATGAACGGCAACAAGATTAGAGATAGGATGAGTCTGACGGCCTGGACGAAGAATTAACTAGACAGGGATCTACCCCTTTAACTGACGAGAGGAGTATAGCCGATCCCGCTAAGGGCTTGCATTTTATCATCATCTTCCATGTCAAGCTCCCTCCGCAGTCCCTGATCTCGTTAGACGCAGCATCCTCTGTTGTGCTCCCTGCCTCCCTTTCCTCTCCTTCCATGTAGGCTCGGCGCGGCGCGGCGTCCCCTGCGCCAAATTGTACCGCCGGAACACTACCGCTGGCATAATGCTTTCGAATCCGGAGCGCGCTTGAATGAATTTGGCGGAGTGATGCGAAAGGTAAAGTCTGGGCCAAGACAGGCAACTTGCGCAGGATCTCATCGATGGTCAGTCCTTCCCCCGGGCTGAAAAGCATTGGCCAGGACAGCATCAAGGCCGATCATAAGGGGCCGCATACTGAGGGGTAATCAGCAATAGCTCCCTAGGCTTGCCTTGGCGCCGAAGAGGGACGCTTCTTCAGCCCCAGCCAGCCACCGTTTTATGTAATTGAATGGTAGCTCACCTGCTAAGGGCCAGGAGGGATAAATTGATCGCCGAAGCTGCTACAGCTATCTCTGTGGATAGTCCCCTAGGCTGAAAGCATCAGTCTATCCGCCGAAGAATCGACGACAGCGTTCTCGTCCCACTGCGTTTATGCCCATATACAGACTGTAAGCCTGAGCAATTGCCCAGATAGTATGGCCCCATGGTGCTAAGTGTGGTGCATCCCATCGTATACACACAGGTTAAAGGGCTTTTGCTCCATTTCTCATAAGGAACCAATCAACACGCTCATAAACAACTCTTCTACTACATTCAGGATTGACATGCTGAGCTGGCCCAAGAGCCTTCTTGGTCACGGTGAGGCGACCAGGCATAAGATGGATCAGGAGAAGCAACCGGGTACGGAGTAAGACGGTACGAGAAGCTAGGATCTTAAGGGTGGAAAACGCGGGACATCGTTCTTTTGGGCGTCGCGTGGAGTGACTATTCCAGTTCATCGAACGCATATCTGCAGGACTAATGGCTGATCTTGCTTGAGCTGGGTACGGGACAGTACATATACTGAGGTCCTAGCTAGCTGGAACTTGGACTTCAATGCGAGTTAACCATCACTGCTTCAGAGACAGTTAACAGACAAGGCTTCTCACGCCAGACAACAAGCGCCATTAAGCGTATAACGCATATAATAGAGCTCTGAAAAAAGGTGAGTCCCCAGAGTGAAATAGCATCCGACCCTCGACAGTTCCATTCGAGATTACTGGCACTAATACGAACATTGTCAGCATGACTAGCACCGTATTTGGAGAATCCTTTTGACCGGAGGAAGAGAGACTAACCACATTGTTGTTGCATCGTCGGTTGTTGCAGCAGAGAAAGGTCCCGCCGTTGCAGTACTGACCCGGTTGAGAGCAGCCAGCATTGGGAGCAGGGACAGCAGCGAGCGCCGCAGTGGCAGTGGCGGCCAGGAGGAGAAGAGTAGCAAAGAGCTTCATGTTGAGTTTAGTGTTCGAATTTCAACGATTTCAGAACTTTGTAAAGATGGTTGAGAGACGATCCCTTCTCGCTGAATCCGACGTGTATTTATATGTTGAGGACAAAGTCTGCGTAACAGTAAGCTCCCAATATTGAAAATAATATGGCCTGGGGACCGCTGCCACTCACCGCCATGGATGAGTTTTGTTGGAGGATTGCCAGCGATTACTGGCTCATTTGAAACTCGAGGTTGCATCCATCTGGCCATAAGAGCTGACAGTGTCTCACTCCTTGCATAGGTGCTGACGGATTTGCACGGCTCTTTCCTGGCGGAGTCTGACGTGCGTTTTAGCCGTTCCGTACAATTCGTATTTTGGAGAATTGTTACATAATGTACAGCGAGCACAGTGAACAATTGTACCGAGTCCTGCGATGCATCATATGATGCATAGGATAGGGTCTTGAAGTAGCCAGAAACAAGGCAGAAACAAGGCATCGATCATGATAAGATAAGACGCAGACAGATAAGATAATCTTATCACCACGTGCGATAAGCCAATCCCACAATTCCCCCACACTCTTCCCTACCCCTCGAGGAAAAAACCTCATTTATCACTCCAATTCCTCACCAATCCCCCATAATAGCACCCCAATGACCCCAATTCAAATTCTCGACGGAGGACTCGGAACCTCCCTCCAAGACCAACATGGCATCACCTTCGACTCCTCCACCCCACTCTGGGCATCCCACCTCCTCGTCTCCGACCCCACTACTCTCCTCGCCTGCCAGCGCAATTTCGTAACAGCAGGCAGCGACGTCCTCCTAACAGCCACATACCAAGTCTCCATCGAAGGATTCGCCCGCACCAAGACCCCCGAGTTCCCAAACGGCATCCCCCGTACTGCTGTCGGAAAATATCTCCGAACCGCACTCGACGTCGCCGAGCAAGCGCGGGGTACATCCGCCGCCAAAATCGCGCTGAGTTTGGGCCCCTACGGCGCGTGCATGATCCCTGGACAGGAATACAGCGGGCACTATGACGCGGAGCATGATAGTGAGGAAACCCTGTTTCAATGGCATCTGGAGCGACTACGGTTGTTTCTCGAGGCGGATGAGAACCTGGCGGAGAGAGTGCAGTATGTGGCGTTTGAGACGCTGCCACGGCTGGATGAGATCCGTGCGGTGAGGAGAGCGATCCACGCCGCCGGCTTGGATGTGCCATTCTGGGTGGCGTGTGTGTTCCCCGGGGAGGAGGCGACGTTGCCCGATGGCAGTTCGATCAAGCAGGTTGTGCAGGCTGCGGTTGCGGAGATGGACGGTGCGGCGGTGCCGTGGGGAGTAGGCATCAATTGCACCAAGATCTATAAGCTGGATGGACTGGTCCGTGAGTTTGGCGAGGAGGTAGCGAGGGCTGTTGGCGCGGGCCGGGTAGGGGCTGTGCCGAGTCTGGTGCTGTATCCGGATGGCACCAATGGAGAGGTTTACAACACGACCACGCAGACGTGGGAGAAGCCGGAAGGGTATACAAGTGATGAAAGGGTATGTGGTTACTTGCTCTTCAATACTGCAATTCTAACAAGAGTAGGGTCCGTGGGAATCCCAGCTCGCGCAGGTTGTCGCCAATGCTCGCGCAACGGGTCCCTTTACTTCATTCCTGGTCGGAGGCTGCTGCAAGGCCTCTCACAACGATATTCGAAAGCTGGCGGAGCAGCTCAAAACGGAGTGATCGATCAACAAGGAAGATGTTCTATATATTATTGGGTATCACCTCTATGCATCTATATAGTATATACAAAAGACAAGCACTTCAGAAAAGCCAGTCGACGATGCGACGCCACCATGTCATCGGCCTGTGTTTCTCGATAATCTCTCCCTCCTGCAGACGGCCTGACCATAGATCGATATTGGCCGCGCGAACAAACTACAACTGTTAGCTACGTTTCCGAAAAGCAGGGACTGGGACGAACCTTGGTGCGGTGCCACAACTTCCATCCGATGATTGGGACGATGAAGATAGGAATTCCGATATACGAAGCGACAAAGTCGGAGGTATTCCAGTTGCCCTTGAGGAAGACGGGGAATCCGGCCACGAGGGTGATGATGGTGGATCCGATGAATCCCACCCACGCCGCGTACGGCTGCAGAGGGCCCTTCCACGGCAGCGTGTCGCGGTGGACGCCCTGCGCTTTGAGCCCGGCATAGAAGCGAATGTAGCAGAGGGAGAGCGTGGCCCATGCGATCAGACCAGCAACGGTGCTGAGATTCAGAAGCCAGGCGAAGGCTTGTGCGGCGCCACCCGATCCAAGACCTAACCTGTTAGTTGTTGAATATCAGCTGAGTTGAAGAGACTTACTGAGATAGGCCAACGGTCCAAACAGCCAAGCGGCGATAACAGCCACATAAGGGACACCCTTCTTGGTCACCTTGCCGAATACCTGGGGCAGCTGGTGATCGGTCGTCATGGCCACGATCATCCGCGAGCCGACCCAGCAGTACGAGTTGCCGGCGGACCAGGCAGAAATCAGGATACAGGCGTTGACAATGGAAGGCAGCGCGTTGATGCCGGCCTCGCGGATGGCAATCACCCAGGGAGAGCTGTTTGCATTTCCACTGCCGGAGACAAGATCGGCGTTTCTGGGATCGACAATCATGCCGATGAGGAACGCGCCGAGCACGTAGAAAAAGGCAATACGATAGGTGACGCGTTGGGCGGCCTTGGGAATTGCCCGATGCGGGTCGACTGACTCGGCCGCCGTGATGACGACGGTCTCGACGCCGATGAAGCTGAAGGAGGCGTTGACAAAGGCAGACAGGAAACCAAGGAAGTGGCCGGTAGATCCGGTGATGCCGTTGTAGTTGGTCCAGGCGCCGGGATTGTGCCAGTAACGGAAGCCGATGGCCTCGTGGTTCGGTCCTCCGCCAGAGGTGATGACAATGGAGACAATTACCAAGCCAACGAAGCAGAGTACCTTGATGCTACCGGCGATGACTTCTGTCTCACCGTAGAATCGCACACTCATGAGATTGATTGCCAGAATCAGCACCAGGCCCACGGTGATGACCACCGCGGGCGTGATGTCCGTCCAGAAGGAGACAATCACCGCAGCCGCAGACACTTCGGACGCGATGGCAATGGTGTAGCAGTAACCGTACGAGATAGCCAGCGAGAAGCCAACAGAGGGATCAATGAAGCGTGTCGCCCAGTGCGGGAAGGATCCGGCGGTGGGCAGCAGCGTCGCCAACTCGGCGATACTCTGCATCACACACCACAGAACGAGACCAACAACTGCATAGGCCAGTAGCAAACCGGCAGGACCAGCTTTGGCGTACGCCGCACCTGTTCCCACGAACAGACCGGTGCCAATGCCACCACAGAACCCGATCATAGTCACCTGGTAGTTCTTCAGGCGGCGCTGGGTGGCACCCCGGCCACCAACATTGAGCTGCAGCTCATCCTTCTCAGGATAGGGTGCAACCTCTTCCCCGTATGGCCGGGAACGATCCGTCTCAATCTTGGAGTCGGATTTCTCCAAGGTGTGGCCGGAGTGGGAGATCATCTCGCGTCGGTATGCTGTGTCTCCCCACATGCACAACCAATCTAGTTATTGAGGAGATGTCAGGATTCAAGAAGAACGTTCGCCATGGGGAAAAGATGGCGGAGAAAATCCTTTTAGTACTCTGGCCGGGAGCCCGCAATCACGACATCGGGGCATGCCGTCGCGCCATTGGTGGCTGCCTTCTCCACAGCCGATCATGACTCTCTAGATTCGGTCTTTTTGCGGGTTCTCGGCTGCTTTCCGCTGTCGCTTTGTCTAGGGTTTTACTCACACATGGCAGAACTGCAGAGTCCTTACTTTTGTGAGATTTGAAGTCTATCACTAGCATAGACATAACTTATAGCTCCATCTCTAGATGGACTACAGCAACTGGCTAAGTATTAGCTGGGATTGTCTCAAGCCTGTTCATCCTGCGGATTAGTCAGCACTCTATCAAGCTTTTCCCCGAGATCGGCATCGCCACGCAGAAAATATCTGGAATAACTTTGCAAAAACTTTATGGAAACGCCACCCAATTTCTCTGCAGCAATGATTCACGCATGTTAGTCAGGCACATTGAATACTGATATGAGATAGGCTTTGCGGTTAAAATTTCAAACACATCCATAAATTATTAATACCCTCACTAGCTAAATTGCATATTATGCAAATACATATATACTTTTCCAACTTAGCATGGCATTATTTTCGTGCATAAGGTCTCATTTATGACCTACATCATGTTATATTCCCCAGGCCAGGTGAGGGCTCTGTGAATGCAGGAAGGATGCCTATGACAATCACAATGTTGGTGTGTCTTATTAGATGACATGCATGAGAACTATCTTGGCATCTTAGCAACAGCCCCATTCTATTATAGCCCCGAGAGAATGACTTTCTAAAATCAAACATATACAGTCTATTTCCCCGTCTATAATCTATACCATCCACCATTTACTTCTTCTCTGGCGCCAGGCCCGGAGGGGACAATGGAATGTCTTCAACACCCACTGGACCGCTGGAGCTTCCCCCACATATTTGGACAGCTCTGCTTTGGAGCTGAGTGGTTAAGGTACTCAAAACGGCCATGTACCCGGAGAACAATAGCGGGCCGTAAATCAAAATGATGAGTGCTTCTTTGTCAGCCGCGATCAAGGCAGACGCGAACGGACTAGCGCGTCGACGCCGTTTCTCGATGGTCTGATAGTCTGGCTCTGGCTTTTGCTTTCGGGCTCCCCATTTCCGCCCTAGAATCTGCCATGCAGACTGGTTCCACCTGCGGCAGGGACAGAGCCATTGCCCACAACCGCGCGGCAGGTTTCAGGCAAGACGATAGCAATGATGGTCCCAAGCACACTGCTGAAAATGACCAGGAACCAAAAGATTGCTCGCCAGCCCAGGTAATGATCCAGCAAACCCCCAATGATCGGCCCCAAGGCAGGCCCCAGGGTCACTCCCATACTCGCATACCCTATATACTTGCCTCGCTCTGCTCTGGTTGACAAGTCAGCGACGACTGCGCTTCCCAGTGCAATGGTCCCACTGCTGCCTGAGCTCTGCAGGCAGCGGAGGACCAACAGTGACGCGTAGCTATCCTGTACTGCGAGGCCTATATTGGCCGCTAGGTAGATGGTGAAGCAGATGAGGTAGGCCGGTCGTCGCCCGTGGGTATCTGCAAAGTTTGCTATAAATGACGGGGCAATTCCTTGGAAGATCTACCAGTGTCAGTACAACTCTGTTAACTGCTGCCTCTCAATGGTCGATTACCTACCAGATAAGTTGTGATGGTTATGTTGATAAGCGAGATGGAGACATTCAAGTCCTTTGCGAGATTGTTCAGAGCTGGAAAGTGGATGCCGCTGGAGATGGGAGAAATAATGGCCGCAAATGAGACCAAGAGCATAATGAAGATCTTTTCGCCTTCTGGCAGTATGCAGTATGGTGGCCCTGTTGATGTGTTGGTGTCTGTTGTTGGTGCGGGCGAAGCATGTACCCCGTTAACCTCGACTGTCTCCGGTTGACGATTTAAATTCTGCTCCATGTTCCCCTCCTGTCGTCTAGCAGCAATTCCAGCAATCGTGGTGATCTCATCGTCCACTTTCATGTGTTGGCCTCCTTCTGGCTGAGTACACTTGGTATTTGCATGTTCCTCGGCAGCCGAAACGCCTTGGTTCCCCGGCAGGACACCAATTTCATCCATATCATGAATTACCTCAGGCATACTGAAATGCCCCTGGTTTATGTTTGATGTTGTCTGGTAGTTTGACATCAAAACATCTTTTATATCCCTAGATAGTGTACCGGTTCCGGTTAGCCAGCCGGAACCGGCTCAGGCGCCCATTGGCTGTTGACCTGTGACCTGTCTTAGTTCTATATCACTTTTACTACTGTATAAGGCTGTATAAGGAAGTGTTGACACGCAATCAGGTGGCCATAGCAAGTCTAGCCATGTGGCACTATTCCCATACCTCCTGAGCTTGGTTAGAATAAGCCTAGATACACCAAAACGCCTTGTAAAAGCAACTGAAATCACAAAAGCCAGACTGTGAAAACAAAGGAGAGAAATTTCAATAGTGCCTGATCAGTTGCGGATTCTAAAAAAAAATCAGCGGGCCAACCTTGGACACCAATTCCTGCGCTTTCCGGATCACTGCCTGACGGAGATCCTGCGACCCATCATCATCAGAGGTTTCAATGGTCTTTGCCAGACTCATCTGTGCTAGGATTGTCACCGTAAATTTCCTGTGCAGTGAGTTGAGTGTGTCCCGATCGGGGGGAGGTTCTCTGACGAGGCAGTCACACAGTGGTGCCAGCGTGGTAAGCAAGTGTGACCACAAGGCCAACAGTTGCTGAGCCGCAGGTTCGTCCTTGCTGAGATCAGGAACCTGTAGTAGAATGGATAAGAGGGCTTCATTCTTTAGCATCGTAGGATCGAAGGATGGTCGATGGGCAGGCTGGATAATGACTATTATCTGGTTCAAGCAGTTGATCGTCTCACGTAGAGAAAGATAACTCACTTGCATTTTGGTCCTGCCAACCTCATTGTCATTGGTATCGGCAGAAATGGCCTCATCAGCTGTATTATTATCCAAGACATCCTGAATATCGGCAAGAGCTTGGTGCAGTCGACGTAGGATGCGTAGGAGCTGGCCTTCAATGCCCGGAGCCACCCACAGTCGGTATAGAGACCACCACTCTGCCTCGTTTGCCCAACGCCGGAGTCGGCGAAGCTCATATTGCCAGAAAACTAACGCCACCTCATTTTGGTATGCTGTCAATCGGCCGGATGATATTAGCTGATTGAACTGCTGGATAGATGACTCAACCAGTGATGATGACTCAAACAGTGATGATGTTGAAGAAGACATTGTATAGATTCGTTGTTGAAGTGGTCGGATGATGAGGATGAGGATGAGAGAACAGAGAGGTAGAGGGAGAGAGGACCTTATATACTTCACAGACTTACCATCTATGCCTTCCCTGAGGGTGACTGAGACAATGAATATCGGTTCTGAAACATTCATCTTGTGCAGTGAGTGATGTGTTATAACAAGGGCCTTTATAAACAAAGGAAAACCCAAAGAGAGAGGGTCCGCAGCAGAGATATGGACAAAGGGGACGGCTTACAAACTTGATACCACAGGCTTTTCCTTTCTTCTAGGTTTCCCCTCTGGGATAAATTTTACAGATTAGTGGTTTTTACCGGCAGAGGGGGTAGTTGTAATGTTCTGAGACACTATGCTTTGTATGTACTATCAGGTATTACTGCTGATTAGTGCAGGGTAGTTATAGACAAAGAGCCTTTCTTCCTTGATTCCACATAATTGTCACAGCCTCAGCCTCAGCCTCACTATCCATCTCTCAAAGATTAACATACAGTAATTATTAATCCCATTCGCAAAATTGTAACTGGAGTTGAGGCCACTGGCCTCAGTCCTACTCGTCAACTAACTTGATAACTACATGCAGGGTTTGGAGACGCTCAAGAGCTTTAGAACAAAGAGATACCTGAGAGAGCTGGAGAGCTATCGCACTAATTTGGGAACACAACAAGCTATTTTCTTCAACACTTTGGGTCTTGCATTAAAGGACGCCCTGATAGACAATGAATCTATTATTAGCACGTGGATCAGCAATCCATAGGCAGACACTTGCCTGGGACAGGTTATCCACGAGACACTACAAAGGAGGCTTGGGACAAGCTTGAGCCTTTTATGAGGACAACACGTCAATTGTCCAATTTATTGGAGGACTTATCCAATAAGTTGGGCTTGATCAATCCAGGCACATTGTTGGTTGGTTGCTCTGAGTCAGGCATGTCAACCCATTATCACTGCTGACCCGTGCCTGCACTAGTTGATCTTTCAGTCCGAATCCTTGATCAAGGGAAGTGTCAAAAAGTTCTGTGATATATTCTCAAAAAGCATATATGCCGACCTCCTGAGCCGCATTCACACTATGAATACCATCCTGAAAACACTGGTAGACCAGTACCTTCAACAACGCTCAAAGGACAACGACAAATGGAGGTTGCGACAGCCACTGTCAGGGCAGAAAAGCCAGTGAAAATTGGCTCTGAGTCTCCATAGCGCCATTTTGAATGGAGACTGCTGGAATTGCCCGTGCAAAGACCAGTATTCTGTTTGTTTGTCCTCACGCGGCCACGCGGCCACGCCACACGAGCCATCAAATCATACATTCTGAATGACGTTCACATCAAAAAGAGTAATCTCAGAATCCTTGTCGCAGATGATCGAAGTGAAGATTATCTTTTATAATATTAGGGTGGGGTAGTTCTTCTCAAGGTTATAGATAGCACTCCACGTGCCAGGGCACGAGAGAAATTCTTCCTGATGACAAGCTCTACGGCTTACTTATGCTTGGGCAATCTTCTGTACTAATGATTCTTTCTCACTTAATAACAGCAATATGTCCACAAAGGTATGCACTACAAACGCCCACCACTGTTCACCAGTTAAAGAATGAGCTATACATAACCTGAACAACAGCAATCTATCATCATATTCACAACCCTGAGGGCTATGAGAACATGACTCTGCGCATAATACTATTTCTAGGTCTCATGTATAATAACTGTCATAATAACCACGAGTTCATGTACCGAAATAGGCAAATATGATGCTTTAATATTGATAGTTTCACTTATTCTTTTTGAGGATGCCCAGGGCACTAGGTATTTGAGCTTGACTGCTAAGGATATATCCAGTTTCCACTTCTCTTGCAGCCTTGGATACTCATTTCCAAAAAGCTGCAACTGATCCATCATAGTGTTAATCAGGTTCTTAATTAGGAGCTATTGTTGTCAGTCTCAACTAAAGAGACGCTCTTTTTGAGAGGTCTGGAATCATGATGTGCGTTATAATATCTTGGCATTGCTGTTCTCCTGAGTATGCCCTTATGAGTGTACTTGATTTCCTTGATCATGTTACTGCGGTTAAAAAGCTTTCTAATCATGCTGATAACCGTCGTGACACCGGATGCTAAGAGAAGATGAGAAAATACTCCACTTTCCCTCTGAATGGGGGAAGCTTATTATCTGAACTGTTTCACCATCTAGCTTTGAACTTCTCTATATATAGTGCCTCTGTATTTGCTAGTCTCATAGTCATGCCCTAATAATGTCAACTCTAGTGCACACTCACTATACCGAATCCGGAGTCCGACACTCCAGATATTAAAGGGTCAATCAACATGAGCATATCAACCCTGCGCGTTGCCCAATCAGAATAGCCTAACCAGGGAGGCACGTCGTCTAGCAGTGCTCTTCATCCATGCAGTAGCTTGAGTGCTTTAGCACTTTCGGGAAACACACTGTACCTGCTGCCTTAAATGATTATAACTGGCACAAGATACCCCGGTCTAATGCGTCTTTTCCTTAGGGCCTCTCAAACGGACGTTTTTTCCTGTATCGATCCCGAAAGCAAAGGTGATAGAGACCTAAATACCTGACTGCGTCTGTAATATCAACCGAGTAATTCGACCGAGACGCTTTTCGGCCCCCGACAATGCTTCACCATTGAATTCAAAGCAACAAGCTAGTACGGATAGAGATGAACACGAAACTTAGCCCCGAAGTTGAATGTGACCCTAACAGGCAGCCATGCAGACCTGAACTGTCTTCTTAAGGAGCGTAATTTCCGGCAGACACATCTGATGCAATCATGTTTTCACTCATCAGAGCAAGACGCCCGCGCCCTCTTATTCATCCAACCAAAAATGGCCAAGTATCGAGTGTATAACCGCCGCCAGCAGGGCCTCGCCGAGACCACTCGGTTGATCCTTGAGATCAGTGGCGCCGAGTATGAGAACTTGTTTCCTGAGGCAAGGACGTTATCCATGGCGCATCACAACCATTATCTAACGCGGCACCGTAGGACTGGGAAAAAGAAAAAGGTTCAACCCCGCTTGGACAATTGCCCGTTCTCCATGTCCAAGGGAATACAGGCAAATGGGTACATGGCTTTGTTGAAGATAGTGAACGGATGACTGCTGATCGCACCGGCGTTAGGAATCCATTGCTGAGAGCCATTCCATGGAGCGTTTCCTCGCAGCGAACCTCGGACTCCTTGGTTCAACCCCGGTAGAAGCGGCCGTGTTGGACATGTATCATGCAGCTTGGAGCGATATGATTGCTATGTTCATGTGGAAGGTTTGGCGAGAAAGCGATCAGGATGCCAAGAAGCGCGGCGCTGCAGAGTTCTGGCTTTTGTTTCCCAAGTTCCTCGAGACGCACGAGAAAATACTGGCCAGCAGGGGTCCATTTTACGGAGGAGACCAGGTTTGTTGCCATTTTGTCTTGTAGAACTGACTTGGTACTAACCCCCTTTCTAGCCATCGTTACCCGACATTTATGCCTTTACCTGGCTGAATCGTTTCATAACTGAGTGGATTCCGTCTCCTCCCGGCTCTATCACGGAAGACAAGTATCCGCGAATGTGGGAGCTTTGGAGGGGTATCAGGGAGAACATCAGGATCAAAGACTATTTTGAGAGTGGGCGGTGGCAGCTCAAAGAGTAATTGCATTGTGTGAGTCTCCTAAAAGCAGCTAAGCTATCTTCAGCAATGCAGTTAGTAAATACGTATTATTCCCCTGGCAAGCCCCTGGTGACAGACTATGCTTTAGCCTAGTATATAGATATAGTCCCTGTGCAAGGGCCCTCCTCTCTAAGTTCTATAATCCCAGAGTCTAAAGCTATCCTTAATATTAAGCACTATAGTCCTAGCTCTTAGAGCTATTACCTTTAAACCTGCCTAACAGCACAGGCTGTGCCGACACTACTGTCATGGTATTAATTGCAGGCTGCCCGAGGCAGGATGCGCCATATCAGATCAATACAAGATATCCAATCCGATATAAGATTTAGCAGGATCTACCACTCCTGCACTCCCTCCCTTCTAATTACCCTCCCCACATCAGCATCCCGATCACCCTCCAGCACCGACCGAATAAACGGCCCGGCCACATCGGCATCTTCTGCCCCGTTCTTCTTCATCTCCTCCGGCGTTCCACCGCCCAACCCAGTTGCCAGGTGGCCGGGCGCGATCCCCCAAACCTTTACCCCATCGTTCTTGAGTATCCGCCCCCACTCGCGCAGCACCATGTTGAGTCCCGTCTTCGCGCTGCGGTACGCGGTGGCAGTCGTCCCAGCGGGCTTGGGCCAGCCGGCCGGTGGCGGCCGGTTTATCGCGAGACGGAGGTCGTCGGTACCTGCGAGTCTCGCAGCGCCGGATGTAACGAAGAGGAGCCTGGGGTCGGAGCTTTTCAGGAGGAGAGGCATGAGGGTCGAGGTGAGGAGGTGTGTACCCGTGACATTGACGTCCCAGGTCTTGTTCCACATTTGGCGTTCGGTCATTGTGGTGTTGGCTTGTGCATCGAACCAGGCGCCTGGGATGTTAGGATGTGTGAATGGGAGAGGGGAGGGTAAAAGACGCACCTGCGTTGTTGACGAGAGCGTCGAGTCTTCCGAACTTAGTGTTGATGTCTTCGTAGGCGTGTTTGATCGAGTCGTCGGATTCGAGGTCGATCTGAAGGGGGAATAGCTGGCTTTGGGACCTTGGAAACTCGCCTTGAATGGCACTAATGGCGTTGTGGACTTTTGCGGGGGATCGTCCGCCTACGATGATGTTGTAGGTTTGTGTGGAATCGTATAGAGAGCGGACGACTTGGAAACCGATTCCGGTGTTGGCGCCGGTGATGAGGACGATTTTGGGAGCCATTGTATTCAGTTCAGTCCAATACTCATGAGGATGTATATATGATCGTTTCTTTTCCTCGACAGCTCTCATCCTAGATATACCTCCATAACTCCGCACTACATCCGTAAACTCCGGTAGAGCAAACATCCAACGGATATATGGACTTACGTTGAATGTCAATTCATATAACTTGTAAAATCGTATCTCAGGAACCCCGATATGCTAAGTGAAGTCCTCGACTATCCCTTTTCCCATCCAGCAAGCCATCCCATGTATGACCCCATTCCTGCGATTGCGCCGTCGGAGTTCGCTGCTGAGGTTTTGCTCGACCATGGACAGTAATGCTGGTCTATAGCTGTGATGAAGTAAATTAACTTGTAGAGGGGCTCGATGATGAAGCTTTCAGGGCCGGTGAATGGGTGATAGGTGTGTAGCGATAAACTTCAGGGGAAGCATTGGAGGCTTCGAAGTAGGGCTCGAATGGGGAGATGGATAGCGGTTCACTTATGCCTGGAAATGAGGACAGCCTATCTCTCAAATTTATCTCTTTTTACGATCATTCTCCGTAGCGGCATGATAGTAATTAATGAGTATGAATGTTTAACTCGTACTGTGGTTGATTCCTCGGGCGTTGCTGGACCCGACCAATATAGCGATCTCGGGCTTTTCTATCCCCCGTCTGGCCATTCTCTGACAAGAGTCATCCAAAACGACCCCGAGCGAGGAAAGTTTTTCAAATATAAATAGAAGATCTTGTCTGCGATCATAAATGTGTCAACTTGATATCAGTTTTAATTCTCTCTGCCTATCTCCAAGTATAGATCTCCCTGGCTGCGAGCAGAAACTTACCTTGCACGGTCATGTCGAAATTCGAAACCTCGAGGGCGCCTCAAAAAGAGGAACCGACTGAAAATCTATCAGAAATGAAGACAACAGAGCGCAGTGAGACCTGCGACGATGGAGAAACCAAGCATGCTACGAGCGACCTGGACGACACGTATCAAGAACAATCAACCACCAAGGTCGTACTTCTTCTTGTCTCGATCATGATAACCATGTTTCTGGTTGCTCTAGATCGAACGATCATCTCAACGGTATAGCAAGCTAAAAACAAACCCGACAGAATGTCAAGCTGACTTGAAAGAAGGCAATCCCTCAAATCACGAATGAATTTGACTCCCTTTCCGACGTTGGTTGGTACGGAAGCGCATACCTGCTGACGTGCTGCGCATTTCAATTGCTATTCGGAAAGATCTATACTTTCTACCCCGTGAAAGCAGTTATCCTGTCTAGCATCCTCCTGTTTGAAGTCGGCTCTGTCGTTTGTGGAGCTGCGCCCAACTCCACGGCTTTTATCATTGGACGAGCTCTCGCTGGTATTGGTGCCGCAGGAATCTTAGCTGGCTCGGTGAGTGGCCTTTTTATTTTGGACTGCAAGTGCTGACGGCCTAGGTTGTATGCGTCGTCTATGCTGTTCCTCTCGAGAAGCGTCCTAGGATTCAAGGACTTTTCGGGGCCGTCTTCGGTCTGGCCTCGATTGTAGGCCCGCTGGTTGGTGGTGCCTTTACCTCGAGAGTAACCTGGAGATGGTGCTTTTATATCAATCTTCCATTCGGTGGCCTGGCAATGGTTGCTATCGCATTTTGTCTCAAGGTGCCCGACAGGAATACGACCAAGGTTCCACGGATGGAGAAGCTGAAGCAGCTTGATGTCGCTGGAATGTGTTGCTTGGTCCCCGGCGTAGTCTGTCTGGTGCTAGCGTTACAGTGGGGTGGGCAGGCATATGCAGTGAGTTCTCGAATAGCATCTTCGACATCTATACTGACAACGAACAGTGGAACAATGCTCACATCATCGCCTTACTGACGCTCATGGGCGTCTTGCTGCTTGGTTTCGTTGCCGTCCAGATACTTCTGACAAGGACGGCGACGATTCCTCCACGCATCTTTAGACGGCGCAGCATCTTCGCCGGAGCTTGGGCGACCCTCTGTATAGGTGCATCGCAATACATATTTGGTAGAATAAATAGAACCCCACTGTGTACCTATACTAACGTCAACTAGTCTACTTTCTCCCAATATGGTTCCAATCCATCAAAGGCGTCTCGGCCGTGGACTCGGGTCTCAGACTCCTGCCTCTGATGCTCTCAATGGTCGTCGCGTCCGTTTTCAGTGGAATCACCACCCAGAAGATCGGATACTACACCCCCTTTGCAATCGTCGGATCCTGCATTATGGTGATTGGTGCAGGGCTCCTCACGACACTGCAAATCCACATCGGCCACGGTAAATGGATAGGCTATCAGATCCTCTATGGCTTCGGCATGGGCATGTGCTTCCAGCAACCCAACCTCGCGGCGCAAACCGTCTTACCGAGAAAAGATGTGCCTGTCGGGATTGCAGTCATGTTCTTTAGTCAGCTGCTTGGTGCTGCGGTGTTTGTCCCTGTGGGCGAGAACGTCCTGGCTAACCAGCTTATGCTGAGGCTGTCTGGTGTTCCGGGAATTGACGCCAATATTGTTACGTCGGGCGGTGCAACATCGCTACTGAGCTTGGTTCCTTTGGATCTCCGGGAAACGGTATTGACGGCTTATAACGAAGCGCTGCGAAAGGTGTTCCAGATTGGGTTTATCGTGGCCTGTTTGACCATTCTGGGGAGTGCCTCGCTTGAGTGGGTGAGTATACTCAAGAAGTCGGAGACTAGTCCTGGTGCCGAGACTGGTGATGCCCCCAAAGAGGAGCAATAGCACTGTCTAATGCATTCCTCGAGATGATCTGAGATTCTCCATTCTTCATTGCCGGGCTCTTGGTTACATTGTCGAGTGAATACGATTAGAGTAGATATAACATGTATTTCAATGAATAAGGTCTGTTTTATTCTGTATCTCTGCTTATATTGACTATGTTACAACATCAACTGCGTCACAGTATAGGCCACAGCTCAAATAGAACAGACGGACATAAGCAAAACCCTGGATAGCCCTGAAATATACTAGCATCCTCACATCAGGCACAATGGCGATGGGCGACGGCACAACCAGACACCGGTGCGTGGAACTTCTTCCCCCGGCGAGGCCGGGGGAATGACGATAGCGTAGCGATAAACTTCGAAACTGGGTTCTTTTGCGCATATTTTAAAATTCGAATCACTCCTTCATTCCTCCTTTCAACTGCCCAGCACAGCGCACAGGAGCCCCGGTTGTCCAGTGCGGAGGGGTCAACTCCTTTTCTCAGAAGGAGCCGAACTGTGGACTCACGTCCGTTCCAAGCTGCTATATGCAATGCGTTCCGTCCATAATTGTCCACAACTGAAATATCTGCGCCAGCCTTCAGGAGGAGTCGCAGGCATCTATTTGCCCCGGAAATCGCAGCAACTAACACTGCGGTGTAGCCGTGGTTATCTCGCACATTGACATCAACACCACGGTCAAGTAACAGCCGCACAATATCAGGGTGATTACCGAGGGTCGCGCGCTGCAGTATGGTCTCGCCAGTGTCTGTTTGAATGGATAGATCTGCTCCAGAGTCAATAAGCGCCGTGGAAGCGCTTGTTCGACCCAGCCAAGCTTCACAGAAAAGAGGGGTCAGCCCTCCTGGCATCATTCGGGGATTAAGGTCCACACCGTCTCTTCTAATTAGCTTCTGGAGGATAATTGTGTCCCGTCCAACCGCCTCATGCAAGGGTGTTCGTCCGTTGTAATCCGCCGCGGACGTGTCTGCACCGTGGTCCAGGAGCAACTGGACAATCCCAGCCTTTTCAGCCTCGCAGGCATGATGAAGGGCGGTCCTTGCGCTATTGTCCTGGGCTGATATATCCGCACCAGCATGAATCAGTGCTTGTACCATCCGTTCATCACCGTTCCTGACCGCTCGATGGAGAGGAGTCCGTCCTTCCAAGTCAGGGATGGAGCTCTGCGGGATCCATTGTGCAAGAGGTTTGATGAGATTTTCAAGGCCCTGGTCCACAATGTTATACAAGACGGTGTGTCCATTCTTGTCTTTGGCCTGTAAATGCCGAGAGTGGAGTAGGGGGACGAGGTGGGGAATGCCCAGAATCAAATTAAAAAGATCCGAAGATCCCAAATAGTCCGCGACCCTCAGAATCAGCTCCAAGGGGAGGTTGTGAGACTGAGGACTATCGGCAGCCATTATTGTCATTGAAGCAACATACCAGACGGAACGAAACGCTTTTGAATCCATGCAGCAAGGAGGAAATGCAACAGAGTCATGTGATGGCGCGGGGCAACGTGCCAACAGGGCAACGGGGCAACGGTGGCGCAGGAGTCGTCCAACAGTTCTACAACAACTATCGAATAAGTCTCGATGGATCTGCGTAATAACCGCATGGCTGCCCATCCTGTGCTGGCGGAACGGCCCCTGGAAGCCATAAGCGTCGTCTGCAGCTAAGGAACCGAGTCCTGACTTGGTCAGTTGATTTGGACAGGGATCACAGAAACTAGGAGTCAATGGACGATCGTTGTATCTATCGCGTCCAGAAAGGATTTCGCTGTATGCAACACGTATTGGAAAGCGATTCTCAAGGATATGAGGGTCTTTACCGGTCTCGCGTTCCAAGAGCTCATGGTGTTATCATACCCCAAACCCCGGCCCAGCATCTGGCCATCACGAGAGTGGTCATAAATTTTAAATGTCGCCTACTGGATTGCCCATATTAATTCCTAGCCGGTGACGCCAAGTCTGAGCTAACCACAGAAGACCTTGAAGAGCATGGTTGGGGGATTCATAGGCAATGGCCAATAGGCACCTCAAATTTTTGTCATCCTTGTGGCCAATATAGATTCAACGGAAAATCCTGAAAGAACACAACAACAAATCGCGACACTGAAACATATACTGAAGATCACCTCTGCGTTACTTCAAACATCACCTCCCCCGTAATGCCTTCTAAAACCATAAGAACATCGCAGACATCAACCCCAGGCCGACAGAACTCCACAAATTCACTGCCCGAACCCCAGTCGCCTCGACCGAGTTCGCAAATGTGCTTGAATAATTCAGTCCCGCAACTGTCAAGCACGTCAAGTGGATTTCAACCGGCATAGCTTGCTGTGACGACGACGAGTTGGGGTAAAACACCGTCATCACAGGAGTCACACCATGCAGCGTTAAGCTTAATTCCGGCGTTCCGTACGGGACCGCGGACCGGTAGCTTTCTACCAGGGAGACGCTGTAGTTCTTCCCGGTGGTGGGACGACAGGAGCGTAAGTCTGCGATGGGCAGGGAGGCGGAGGGGCCGGTCAGGACTATATCACAGTTAGTAGGTAGTACCCCATGATGCACGCAGTATACGCTACGAAGACGTACCATCCACATGGATACTCTCCTGCGAGCGTCCCAGCCATAGCGAACATGACTTTGGGTGTACAGCGCTACAGCAAGATCGTGACAGAACCCCTCTGTATCGAGGGTCTGGTTCTTCGACATAGAGCTGTCCGGGCTCACCTCCTGCTTGGCTAGGGATATCAAATCCTGAACGCAGTCTGCACCCATTACATCCTGGCATGTGCCATGCTCTGGGTCTACGAACTTGAACTTGAGCATGGCAGTCAGGTCTGTGAAGAACAGAGCACATGCGCCGAACGCGGTGGTGTTGCTAAGGCTGACGTTCTGTGGCAGGCCGAGATAGAAGGATTGGTCTATAAGGTCCATGGACCGCTGCTCGGGGTCCTGTGTCTCTTGGAGGCCGAGGGTCCAGGTTAGGGGCATAGTGCCGTTTTGATGTAGGAGGAGCTGAAGGACGCTTGGCCGAGGGCACTCAGGGTGCGGTTCTCAATCTCGCAGTCGCACTCGAGGGTGCCACAGCCGACCAGTTCGCTGGTGGCGGAGGCAATGGAGAGAACCATGAGAGAAGTATAGAAGAGGACCATTATGACAGGGTTGTCCCTGGGTGTGCCATGGTTGCGGGAAGTGAGGAGCCTCGGAGTGAAAAGAGAAGCTGGATTTTACCCGGGAGTTCGAGTTTCGCTTCTGGGGGGAGAGCGCAAATTTGTATTGTACAAGATGCAGGGTATCAGAGTAAGGTACTACAGCATTGTCTGGCTACATGTGATGCGATGCAGGAACATCAGGCTGAAACACTACCTTATCCTGCGCCGCAATTCCACACCCAGTAACAGGGCCGCCAACGAGATGTGTTGGACTGTAGATGAGCGGAAAACCAGATTGTATTGGTTGTCATGGGTTTGAATTCATGCAGGGCAATCTATAGTGTCCACTTGGCGAGGGGTTGACTTCAAGGACTTACAAGTGCCAGTCATGTTGTCGCTGCGGCGAGATTGTTGTTGGGCGGCTATTGTATGTATGTAGACCCCCATGCGCGGGATAACGGCGGCATACCTAGTCTTTTAGAGACTCTATTTCTCCAACCAGAAAGTTTAGATTTGCGTTAGATGACTACTAAAATTTATGCGCATGTCTAGGCACGGTAAGTGGGCGCGAAAGCTTCATTTAACCAATTAATGTATGTTGAGATGCTGTAGCTAATGAGTGGGAGTTAACCCTAATACAGAGGTTTAAACCCTTTGGACACATTCATGTTTCCCACACTCAGTGTCCCATGTGATGTGTGCCTCAAGATTTCTAGCTCCTCAATTAGCAACAGGGATTAAGTATCTGGTGAGATCCAGAGCTCATCGAGTGCTGGAATTGGATTATACCAAGATTGCTAGGAGACCTCGCCTTGAGCCAACAGATGCTTGGTTGTAAACCTAAGAAGCTTGAATAGTTAATGTCATATCCAACCACTCAGCCAAAAAGGCGTCCAGACAACCATCTCTAGCTAGTAGGGATAGTAGTAGTAGGGGCAACACAGCAGGGACACAACAGTTAATTAGGAGTTATAAGCATTGAATGACAGTGCAATGAACCACTTTATACAAAATCGCCTCTAGACACACAATAGGCTACTATGTGCTTGGGAGAATCTATCCAACAGAACAGCTCTACTCAGGGGCGGAAAATACTTCCCAGAGTGGCCACTCTTTAAACGATCCTCCCAGGTAAAGCTCTAGTTAACCAGGTAGCTAGCTGCTAGCTTATGGAGCGCGTATATTTCAAGAAGAGCACAGCTCATGCACCTCCCTACTGTTATTTTTCTACCCACGATTTTTCTGCCCTTCTTTCTCTCGTTTTCCTTCTCGGCTTAGAATCTAATTCAGTCCGACGATGTTAGGGCTTTTCAATTCAACGGGACCCGACTACGAAGTATCTCAACGCACAGCGCGGAAGGAAGTGCTAAAGTTTATCTAGCAGTACAAAATATCAAATTATCAATAGAGATTTTCTTCTCATAAATAAAATTTCAGCCGAATTGCTCTACATAGCAGGATTATAATGCATTGCACCAGCCGATCACGTGACACAGAGGGGCCGTCGGATAGCTCGGGCTTTACTAACTCCCGACATCCTGTTCACCTTTCGTCGTCGCAGACAAGAGGAAAGCCCAGCTTGTCCATCTAAATACTGCTTGGCGACCTCATCGTTATCTTTGTTTCCAGGTCTCGGGCTTGTGGAGCCTTATTCTTATTCTTCTATTTGAAAATGTCCACACCAGAGCAAAGCTCACCGAGGTCGCCCTTGCGAGCGGCGACAAGGCCTACACGGGTGCTGGCCTGCGTCCTGTGTCAACAACGCAAGGTCAGATGTGACCGTGGATTTCCCTGCGCCAACTGTGTACGAGCCCAAGCGCAATGTGTGCCTGCAACACAGGTCCGACGACGTCGCAGGTTTCCTGAGAGGGAGCTGCTGGAACGTCTTCGGAGGTATGAAGATCTGCTGCACCAGAATAATATACAATTTCAGCCATTGCACAATTCTGTTGTGGAAAAGGCGTCTTGTACCAGGGAGCATAGAAGCTATGATAGAACTAGTGATGAAAAATTGGAGCGAGATTCGCAGGAAGAGGGGACTCCGGGGTCAGAGACAAAATATGAGGCCAAGTCAGATTTCCATCGTAGTTCATCATTTGCTGTGACTGACTTTCTATAGGAACTTCTGGCGGGTCATGAATCAAATCGTATGGATAGCTCTGGGCCTGATCCCGAAAACAGCACTGACGTTGATGGATAGTCTGTTGATCCTGAAGAGGATGATACTAATGACAGCGACAAAAGTAACGAGCACAGTAAATCTCGCTACGGTGCCCGTGAGGCCATCTTCAGAAAGACCTGGGAAGAGCTGTATGACGGGGGCAGTCAAACCCTTCTGTTTGGTGCACGAAAGTTTGATGTCAAAGTATCAACATTGCACCCAAAACAGGTCGAGATCTTCCGACTCTGGCAGATCTATCTGGACAATGTCAATCCGCTGCTAAAAGTAACCCATACTCCTACTTTGCAGGCACGGATCATCGATGCGGCCGCTGACGTGGCTAATATAACACCGACACTGGAAGCACTCATGTTCAGTATCTATTGCCTCGCCATTCTCAGTCTGTCAGAAGACGAGTGCCGGACCCTGTTTGGATCGTCAAGGGACGATCTTCTGAAAGGCTACCAATTCGCCTGTCAGCAAGCCCTCCTGAACTGCGAGGTGCTACGTACAAGTGACCGTGACTGCTTGACGGCCTTGTACCTTTACCTGGTAAGCGCACCGAAACCGCATCAGGCAAACCGCTGACGCTTCCAGATCTCGGTTAGACAGCAAACGGATCCTCGCTCTCTGTCGCCAATCCTGAGCGTCGCCATCCGTATTGCACTACGCATGGGTATCCATTCCGAGTCTAGCTATACTAGATGTTCCATCCTAGAAGGCGAAATGCGCCGCAGATTGTGGTGGTCGCTCGTCCTGTTCGACAATCGCATTTGCGAGATGGCTGACCACAAGTCCACGAATCTGCTTCCCACGTGGGACTGCAGGATTCCTCTCAACGTGAATGATTTTGACCTGCGATCAGAGATGAAGACCGGGCCAGCCACGCACGGCAATCCCTCCGAGGCACTGTTCGCCGTTGTGCGCAGCGAGATGGGCAATTTTGTGCGCCGCAGCCCGTTTCATCTAGACTTTACCAACCCAGCCTTGAAGATCGTGGCCAAGGAAGATCCTCTTCCTGCGGCTGGTAGTCTGCCTGCTTTCGAAAGGATGATCGAAGAGAAATATTTTGCCTCCTGCAACCCAGAGAACCCTCTTCATTTCATGACAATCTGGACAACACGGGGTCACCTGGCGAAGAATCGTCTTCTGGATCATTATTCCAAGTATTCGTCGGCACCGCAAACAGAGACCCAGCGTGACATAGTCATCTCCCACGCCCTGTGCATGCTCGAGTGCGATACCAAGCTTATGAACTCGCCTCTAACAAAAGGCTACCACTGGTTCCTTCTCCTCCACTTCCCGTTCCCCGCGTACTTTCACATCTCCCAAGACCTGAAAAGGCGACCTATGGCTGGACACGCAGAGAGGAGTTGGACAGTCTTGAACGACAATTACGCCGCTCGCTTTGGAGCTATGAAGGAAATGAACCCATTTTTTGAGTATCTTGCGCGGATTCTTCTCCAGGCTTGGGAGGCACGCGAGGCAGTACCCAGACACCTTGGCAAGCCGCTGGAACCACCACACATTGTCTCGGACATGAGATCCAAAATGTGTCAGGGACCAAGCAGACTGGCAGGGAATACTGAGCAGTCTACCAGTGCATCGACGTCCAATATGAACGACAGTTCGATGCCTACCTTCATCGACTTTGGTGGTTATGGCGTCCCATATGGGCTGGAAGAACCAGGCTTTTTCAGTACGGGCTATCCGGGCACACATGGGCCTCCTGCCATGGATCTTTACCTGGATCAAGCCGATTGGTCCACGTTTGACTGGTATTCGGTGCAAGGGCGAGGCTGGTAAGGTAGCCACGGCTTCTCTGTTACTTCTGTATATTCTCTTGACCTGGGGTTATACCAGAGGAAGCCAATACTAAGCCAAGTAGCTTCGAAATACTCGTTACTTGGCTTTGCCAAATGCTCATGGTAGATATGAATCATATGATAGAGCAAAAAAGTCCTCCTAAAGTGGGATAACTAGATATCAGTATCTGTTAATCTGTGACTGAATATCAGTACTGTAGCAGTCGCATATTGAACCCTGGGCCTAAAATCAACTTAGGACATCAGAGAGATCGAATTATCAGACATTACATACTAAAAGGGCAAGATACAACCCAAAGTCAGGGTCATATAAGGCTATGATTCTCTGATCATAATTATTGAATCTTAAGGTAAGCCTGGCTCACTGAATCGTTGAAGAGAATCACTCCCATAATTATCTTGTTTGGCATCATCGTCCTCAACGCTAGCATTACTATAGTGTTCACGAAAGCTACCCCAGTCTCAATCATCTGCTCGTTACCAATTTCATCGGGCATCTATCCCGCCTTTATCAATTGAGCGCGAGCTCCTACCGGACAAATTGTTCCAAATCATCCTCGATGAGCCCAGTGTAAACACCAGTCTCAGCCGAGAGACAGCTAGCCTACGGCCACCATCCGGAATTGCGTTGCCCTGGCTCGGCAACCTGCCAATACTGCTCGAAAAGCTCGGCACTCCACTCGCAGGCAGTCCCTCTGCCTGGTAACTCGGCACTGCTTGAGGAAATGGCATTAGGAGCCAACGGGGCTGCAGCGGTCTCTGCGCCTACACTGGTAAGCCCGCACATTGGAGATGCCTGTTCAATGGACAGATTACATTCTGCTCTTTGAATGGCTGACACAAGGGACGAGCACTCCTCGGTGTTTTTGGTTGAGCTGGACACCTGAGGAATACCAGTGTTGTGGACTGGGCCATCGGCGACCACTGTGGCATGAAGATCAGACCGCTCAGGGCTGTTGGGAGAATTAGGTGACTGCAACCGCTCCCGGACAGTCAATGCTTGGGCTCGAAGTTCTTCAATGTGCCGCCAGCGACGATCACGGCCGATGTCCGGGTCATTGTTCCAGTGGTGATAGACCTCGTCTGCCTCCTTCCACGCTGTGCGCGACGGGTCCCACGAGGGCGCGAGACAGAGCTCCAGCAGAAGATAGGCCAGCGCGTCCCATTCGACGTAGGTCTGAAACAGCCACACCCACCGCGTCCCTCTTTCATAGTGTCGCAATCTGGACGCATGGTGGAGGACATCCTCACAGACTTTGCCGTAGTTGCTCCGCCCAGGCGGTACCGGTTTCCGATCCCTGAGTGGCTTGCATACAGCCAGTTTCAACTTGACCAGGATGAGACGAGTGATGGCAGCGGTGACGCAGTCCAGTGGTACTCCTTTGTCACAGTATGCCAGGTACTGTTGCTCTATGTGCTCTCTGAACCGGTCAATTGCCTTGCACTTCTGCGCCTCATTCAAGATAGGGTAGGAGTTGCTGGTACAGAACCTATCCGAAAACACCACCCTCCGTGCAAAGCGGCTTACTTCAAACCGGGCAAGACTAAACAGCATCTCCGTCCGTCCCGGTTGAGCCTGGGGGAGTTCGCTCATGTATGGATCCAGGCTGGCGTCATTGACGTTGGAGGGAAGTTTGGTGGTGAACGCGGACTCCATAATGCTAGGCTCCAAGCCATGATCCTCGGCAGTGCGGACGTCCAGTGTGCAAATCTGCCACCAGAGCCGGCGTCGCATTTCCACTTCGAACGGAGGGAGTCCCGTAGCCGCTCCATCAGAATGAAGCCCGATTTTCATAGCGGTCCCAATGGCAACGCCGATGAGCGCGCAAACGTCGGGTCTATACTCATCGCGTCTGCCGCAGATCTAGGGCACCGGGTGAGTATTACATTGATCATCCGCGGCATGTAGTGAGCAGGTACCAAGTAGAGGCTGAACGCTTGTAGAACCATCATGTCCATCGAATTCAGGAAATTCGCTTTCAGAAGAGCATGCTCGACTCCCATCCGATACCTTGGAGGCTTCAGCATAGAAAACCCAAAGAGTGCGGAAAACTTACCGGCTCAGTAGCGTTGTCCTATCCTCGTGAAACTCGCTTTGACACTCTGCCGCAGACATGGCCACGACGGTAGAGTAGTAGATTGCAAACATTAAGCATTCTGTGGGGGGATTGAGCACTGGTTGACCGCGAATGAGGCTGAAGACATGGCGCTGAACAGTCGGGACATGGAATAACTTGAGAACCGGGTCTACCACGTCCAGGTATGTCTGCCAGATGGTCGATATCACAAGGTGAGACGGATGTAGGGGCCCCAGTGGTAGTGAAGGACCCAGATGGAACGGGAACGAGTGCCCCAAACGCCGATCGAAGGACCGAGGAGGATGGGATGCTGGGCTGGAGCAGCGCTGGTCATGTTCGACCGCCTAATTGTACCTCTTTAGTACCTGACCTACAGCCTTCAGAACTGTTAATGTGTAAAGGAGGCTTACAGAGCCAACATGGTCGCCTTCCTGTTCTTGGAAGTTGTCGGAGCTAATCGGCAGACGATGGCGGACTTGCGCGAGGTCAGATTGCAGGGACTGCAGGATGCCCTCCAGTCTCTCTACGCGAGCCAAGAGGGGGCTTTGATCGGAAGATACGGCTTCTTTGTCTGCTGGTCTTGGTGGATACGTGCACTCTATGCGTGTGCGGATGCAGTATGCACATGGCAGGGATCGGTCACATTTGATCTTGCGGCGACGGCATTCGAGACAAGACCGTCCCGACGCAACCACCCGGCGCGGCATGAGCGGCTTCAGACTGATAGTGTAAGCACTTCGACCGGTCACTGTTTTGGGATGTGTTATTGCAAATCGAGAAATGGCGAAAAGGCAGAGTAAGCTGGCACTGAGTTAAGCGGCGCCAAGGAGCCCCTCCGATTGGCTGCAGCGGAGGACGCGGAGGCACCTCCGCCTTGTACAGTCGTGGACACGTCGGTATGGTCTTATGGATAGATCCATTTGTCATCACCGAGAATCAATTGATGATCGGTAATCATCGGCGGGATATGGCCCTCGAAGGTTGTGGCCTTCCCATGCGTTGATATAAAGATGTCGTCCTGGTCACTATGGTCCTTAATGTTCAAGTTCAAAGCAAAGACAATCTCCAGTCATCAACCATTCTATCTAATTGACATATCAGGTCCCTCGCATTGGGTTGCTTAGAAATTGGACCAAACCTCAGCAAACCAACAACGATACAGAATGGCGGCCTACAAGAACGTTGCCCTCGTCGGTGTATGTGCATCCAGGAATAAGATTCTACCTTCGTCCATGCTGACCCTCTTCATTCTATAGGCTAGCGGAAGCATTGGCAAGATCATCCTCCATGGCCTTGTCGCATCGGCTAAATTCAACGTCACGGTTGTATCCCGCAAGGAGAGCGAGGCGACTTTCCCTGCCGGTGTCACCCTCCGCAGGACGGACTTCTCGGAGGCCGATCTCGAGGCGGCATTTGAGGGACAACACGTTGTCATATCAGCTCTTGGTGCCATGGGATTTGGCGAGCAGAAGAAGCTTGTCGACGCTGCCGTTCGAGCTGGTGTTCAGAGGTTCCTCCCATCGGAATTCTCCGCTAGTAGCCAAGATGAAGCGGTGCTGCAGTTGCTACCCCTGTTTAGACAGAAGACGGAGCTCATCGAGTACCTGAAGACAAAGGAGGCGGAAGGTCTGTCCTGGACCGGCCTCGCCACGTCAGGGTTGTTTGACTGGGTATGGCTGAGAATACTGCACTCTCCAATCGTTGCAATACTGATCTCTCGTTTTCAGGGACTCGAAAACGGCTTCCTCGAATTCGACATTGCAAACCGTACCGCAACTATCTGGGACGGCGGTAATAAGAGCTTCACCCTCACTAACGAGAAACACCTGAGCGAGGCTGTGGTTTCCATATTGCAGCACCCTCAAGACACCAGTAACAAGTACCTGTACATTGCTTCTGTTGAGACCACACAGAACGACATCCTGGCCGCGCTGGAGGAGAAGACTGGGACAAAGTGGACTGTCAATGCCACCACTACCAAAGAGCAAGTAAGCGAGGGAGTCAGGAAGCTTGGTGCAGGCGACTTCAGCGGTGCCTTTACTCTCGTTCGCGCCACCACCTTCGGGAGCATTCCGCGCCTGCGAGCAAACTATGCCAAAGATGAGACCTTGGCCAATGGTATGCTGGGCCTAAAGTTGGACTCTGTGAAGGATACTGTCGAGCGGGTTGTGCGAAATAAATCAAACTGAGTGGGCAGTTGCTTGCAGGCGGCTTTATATCATTTCAGGGAAACAGTGTGTAGAGCTTGCGGACCGCGCATGGCCGCTGATTTGATTGCTTCTACAAGCTCTCTTCTGATTTGTTGCTCTGTCCATGTTATGGATGAAATGACTACCTTAACTTCATTCACTGTGTTATAACCGACTGCAGCCATGCCTGGTTTTGCTCCTTCGTAAGCCAGCTCTACTTGCATCCTGAATCAGTTTGTCTCACTTTTTATACTTGGCTTATCCTCCTGTAGTGGACTATAAAGCACTAGAGAATCTTATGTCCACATCTTTGTACTCTAAACTGTCATATCCATAACTGTTTCTTCATGATTGGGAAATGGTTAGCGTATTGGGTGCGAAATGCACATCACCAGTGCATGTTCTCAATTCAAGGCTACCCTAAAGTGCTGTCACCTGCCCTATCCTATACCCCTGTGCCTAGTCCTAAGCCTGGTCCTCTGGATTGCTGCCGATATGCCCACTGGACCATCACCCCTGCCTCTGAGCCCGAGCTTGGAGCAATACATCGATCTTATGCTGCGCAAATGGCAAACCGCCGCATCTCTCCCCTATTGTTGGAGTTGAGTCGATTTGATCTGAACCGTCACATGAGGTTCATGACAACCCGGCGTTTGTTTCATTCTTCTTGGCCACTTAACACCCTGAAGTTCTATTACGACGGACACCACTGTCAGCCAGATATGGTCGTCTTTCCCCAGAGGTTTTAGTAGCAGAATCATCTTCCGGACAATGATGACCTGCTATGAGTCTACCACATCCGCCTGCTCGATACACCCCTTCTAGGCATATTCTACTTGAGGGTGAACGAGCCATTTGTATACTTAAGTCTCGTCATCCTCAGCAACAGTAACATCATCCTTGATATTAATCGGACCCGCAAACCCTCTCCAAGTCCTCCCCATCAGATGCCGCAGACAGAGCAAGTCTCCATCATCCGGGTAATACAGCCACGTCGCCCACTTAGCCCACTGCCCCTCTTTCATCTGCGTCCTAGCCCGCTGCCCGATCTTATCCTCGATGAACTCCCCCCGCCGCATCGCCAGCCGCGTCGGGAACACCCGGGCCAGATAATGCGCGGTAGAGGCAACATGCGGTTTATCAAACCAGAAAAACAGCGGCGTAAGAGAAATCTTCTTTTCTGGCTGCGACTGGACCACAAAATCCCGCTTTAAGGAGGTGGTGAGCTCCCGCAGGCCAGGATGGTCCGTGACATGCGGCGACACCGCATACCGCTTCATCCGCACCGACGGGAAAGAGACATATTTGACAGGCACGGCGTCATCGCTTTCGCCCTCGCTTCCCTGCATGATTTCCAGCAGAGGCTCGAGGGGGATATCCGCCACAAGCGCCCAGTCATGCTGCTGGACCCAGACGTACGGGGTCTCGACCACCCTCAGGGCCGAGCGAACAGCCAGACCGAACCCCAGCCGGGCAGCAGGTTCAATGAATGTGATTTTGCGGTCGTCGGTCTGGCTAATGAGCAGCTCGACGCGGCCATCGAAGCCGAATTCGGCTTCTGCGTTTGATTGGCTCACGGTTTGGCCTTGGCCGTCCTGCGCATGATGATATGTCTGCAAAATGAGGTCTTTGATGTTGCGCTTGTACAGCTCGTAGCTCTCAGCGAGCTCTGGGCTGGCATGGCCTTTTTTCAGACGCGGCTGGGAGGTGATGCGCTCAAAGGTGTCGAAGACGACGACCACGCGGGCGTCGGTCAGACCAGCGCAGTGCTGCTGGAAGGACTGTAAGACTGATGCGATGAGATCTGTGGTGGGGTTTGACGGGGCTGGTGAGGTTGTGATGATCACCGTCAGCCGATCCGATATAGAGGGCATCGGGCTGAAGGTGGAGAGAATGATGATATTGTGGAGGAAAGAAATTTGAGGCAAAAGTGGCGGTCTTGGCGCCTTGGCGGGTATTTTTGATTCCAGTTGACAGTTGACTGTCTGGTGTGAAGGACTAAATTAAGGTGATTGCCATGAGAAAAGTCAGTTCAGATAATCATGGATAGATATAAATCTAGGGATACACTTTTGTTAACAGAGTTGCCTATTTAGATATTCATCATTGACTATTAGACATACAATATATTAAAATGATCTAATATATACAAAGATGCGCCACCATCTTCAACTGACTCGTTGCTTATATTTGTAAACTGTTATTTGGCATATATGTGACTAATACCAGTATCTATGCTGGGTTACTGGCCTAATTACCTTCTCTTCTAGTATCTAGGGTACAAATCCGGAATGAATATAGCGTGAACAAATACATGGTTTCCATTGGGTGGTTATTTAGGTCCATTTCCAGTTTCCTGGTTAAAGTTGGCAGGCTCAGGGTTACTACAAATATCAAAGCCATGGTACTGGATTCATCTTACTCTGCCTCTGATGATCGTACTTTATGAGGAAGGTCATATCCCTGTTATTTAGCATCCTTAAATCAACCAATGCTAATCCAATCATGCCCCCACGTGGAGATCGACATTACAGAAATATGCTAGGCCCACTCCTCTGGCACGTGTATAGTTATCTCATCCCCGTTCGTATAAAACCTGCCACAATCCCTTCCTATCATCTATGAATCTCTGGACTAGAAGCAATTCCTCAAGATGAAGGGTATCTGTTATATTGCCTGGCTTGTTCCTGTCCTGGAACTGGCCGCCGCTGCCAGAGCACCCATCAAGAAGACCCTGACTGGCCATATTGACCCTTCCCAGGTCTTCTCCTTTGTCTATGTGCCATTTGAAGTGGAAGTCGGGACAACATCCATCTATGTTGTGCAGAACTACTCGAACAAAGGGCAGGGAAATGCCCTTGATCTGGGCATCTTCGACCAGCGAGGATATCAGATGATGGACGCACAGAATGGCGCCACGGGCTCTCGAGGCTGGTCCGGTGGTTTCAGGTATGTCTCCCCCAAATCCATCTTGCCACTTTCCTATCTGACAAGGCAGAAACAACTTCACCGTCACTCCCTCCTGGGCCACCCCAGGCTATAACCCCGGCGCCATCGAACCAGGCACCTGGAACATCGTCCTGGGCCCGTACACATCCGTCCCCACCGGTATCGACTGGCAGCTCGATATCGAAATGTCCTTCGACCCCGTTGACTCGTGGTTCTCCCCCTACTACGCCACCACCAGCCTGGACCCCCTCTGCAACGGCTGCCAGGAAGACTCGGCGTTCACCTGGCTGCGCGGCGACTTCCACATGCACACCATCTACTCGGACGGCAAATACACTCCAGACCAACAGATCCACAACGCCCTGGCCCGGAATCTCTCCTTCATCTTCTTCAGCGACCACAACACCGACACCAGCAACCAGATCATCGGCGAGCTCCAGGCCTCCCTCGCGCCAGATCTGCTCATCGGTCGTGCCATCGAGGTCACCACCCGCTACGGCCACTGGCAGGCCGTCGGGCTCGACCGCGACCAGATCATCGAGTGGCGGTACAAGCCCGGCGACAACCCCGGCTTCGCTGCCGCCGCGCACCAGGTCCGCCGCGTGGGTGGGTTCGTCTCAGCCAACCATCCTTTTGCCTCTTGTCCCGCATGTAACTGGAGTCTCGGGTGGGAGGAGATCGACGCGGTGGAGGTCTGGAACGCGCAGTGGGACGACCAGGATCAACAGGCCGTACAGAAGTGGCAGGAGCTTCTTGTAGACGGGAAACTACTGACTGCCATCGGAGGCAGCGACTCGCACTCTCCCCCGTCGCTGAACGGGTGGCCGACTACCATCGTCAAGGCGAGGGGACGCAGCCAGGCTGCGATTGTGGAGGGTGTCCAGGCTGGCCGGGCGTATCTAGTTCAAGGACCGGGCATGGACCTCGGGTTTGAGGTGCGCGTTCCCTCGCTGGAGGCTCCCGCACAAATTGGTGATAAGCTCCGGAAGGGTGCTGCTGGGGCCGAGGCAATACTGGTGGCTGAGGGGTTGTCGAAGCTCAAGGCTTGCTTTATCTCGGATAAAGGCTACTTCTACAATACTACCATTAAAGATGGAGTACAGATTAAAAAGGATGTGCCGTCTGGGGCCAAGTTTGTTCGGGTGGAGGTTCGCAATGGCACGACAGAGGAGGTGCTGGCCTTGACCAACCCTGTTTGGTTCTTGGGTTCTTGAGGTACATGTCATGTTACAGTAGTCATGATATCTTCATGTACGTGTACTGGTCTGTGCCATGATGATAAAATGTGCTCGTCAAAGGCCTGGAAAATGGTGTCGATATTGCCGGGAATGAGATCAGAGATAAAGGTGCAGGCGGATGGAAGGGCGTTGAGGCGACCCTGGGTCTATTGCGTATTTGATAGACCTGGAAATATGCTCTACTAGCGGATACTCCGTGGCTGAGAGTACTCTTGCGATTCACATTACGGATATACTCTAAGGAGTATTGTATCCCCAACACTCACGTGTACTTCCTGTCTTCCTGCAGTGTGGTATGTAGCCATGAAACACTTCTGTCCTTCCAGCTTCATTTCCAACAATATAGCCGTAAGACAAGAGACCATCCAAACGTCTGTATGCAAACCAATTTTCACTCTTTCTCGGACACAATGCTCTTCTCCAGCCTAACCCCAGTAACATTAATCGTCGCCCCACGATATCCAACCTAGGCACGTCAAACATCAAACAAACCGTCGACGGCATGACCGCTCTACGCGAGAGCGTCATCAAAGACTGCGATGCTGAAGAAGTTGCCTGCTGAGAATTATCAGATGATTGCGTCCAGGGTTGCTGAACTTGATGATGCGTTTGATTATGCTCACCAGGCGTTGGCCGCTTAGCGGTGGCCGATTGCGATTAGATAGGATGATACGTGCTGTGTCATTGTGCTGGGACGACTATTGCTATCTAATTTAAGAATTAATTGTTCCCTAAACGAGATTGCCTCATCATATCTGTTCAACCTCTGCTGGCGACACTACCCGAAGCAGAGGCGAGTTTGTCCTGACCACAACATCTTAGCACCTACATTGACATACCGTATATCTTCCGTTTAACAGTACATATCGCCCGCAGGTTTCGTAGGCAAGCTACCAACCTCATGGTAGACTAGGCAAAAGACGGACACCAGTATGCCTCCATTCCGTGCACGCTGGTGGTGTGCATCTCTCGCGGCAGCGTAACCATCGCACCAGGCAATATCCCCGAGCCCCGCTCGTCAACCCCAACTGGCACGCCACAGAAACAGACCAGAGAATGGCCGTTGTAATCTTCAAGTGTGTCCGGCAGGCATCCAAAGCCTGCGATGGCGACTGTCGTGAGCGGAGAGGGTACTTCCCGGGCCCTGGTGTGCAGACCTACGAAGAGATCAGAGGTATATGACGATCTTCGATCTAGCTTGTACGTGAGACATGGGAGTGAAATCAGATCGCATCGGGATTCTGGATGACCATGGAAGGGTCTTTGGGACAGATGGGCTGCGGGTTATTCATGCCAGTGTGTTTCTGCTCTGCCTCTGGGACATCCACAGGCTACTGTTTGTAAGTGGCTTTTTTATTACGAATGATGTCTTAGGGCCAGCGCTGACCCAGACGCGGCGGACATGTTACCAGAGAAATTGGCGCGTCCGATGATACAAGAATATGGCAGAGCTAGAGACAGAGGATGGATGTTGATCTGTAGCAGTACCCAAATGTGACAAACAGAAATCAAGGCTGGAAATAATGTCAGCATACCCTACATTCGGTGGATATCAAACCTACTGTTGATGGAAGAGATATCTCTAGTTCTGACTACATCACATGCTGCTTGTCATTCTGTCCGCCTGGTGAAGTGTGGTCCATCCAGTCTAGTTGACACAGAACCAATTATGCTCATCTGAGACAAGTGGCCTGAGCGAATCTTCTTCCATCTTCCATGACAAGTATCCAGGCTGCCAGTTCGCAGGGAGCCTACGAGCGTGGCTGTTCTGGACGCACTCTTCCCGGCATGTTCGGATTAGGATTTATATAGACTTGTCATAGAAAAAATATGAATGAGCCATTATCGCGAGGTATCTATGACCAATCAATGCGTATGTCTAACAGCATCGGTCATGTATTAGTTGATCAGGACTCGAGACTCGTAGGGCCCTATGTCGATAGTGGCCAGTGATTATGACTATCTGACCGTCAGCAGAATTAATTAGAGTCAGTGGCTGAGCTATTTATTCCGATTACTATACTATGTCTTACAATGTTTCTCGCCACAAATATTGATTAGCCACGATTACTGACCGTTGGATGACATCTGAACTTTGTCTCACTTTTATCGTGGAAAGGCGATCTATTTTTACCGCGCCAGGCAACCACCATGACAACTGCACCGACCAAACGTTCATCACGAACGGCATTTCTCCAAGAGGAATCCGTGCAGTAATTGCCTCGATGATCTCATGTTTCTCGGCTTTAGAGATACTGGTGGGGCGACTAGGCAACACCGGTCTCGCCGGACTATGAATAGCTTCGCCGGTAGTCAATAGTTCGGCTGTCGCTGAACTGATGGTGGCCTAACTCTCCTCGGACTGGGGATGTACTAACTTACTGAACCGATCATACCGGCATGAGGCGTGTGGGTGTAGTATCCATATGGAGAACCCTATAGTAGTTGCAACCGCAAAGCTACGAAGACTTTAGTATATAAACATGACTCCCACACTGGCTTGGGATATTCTTCCCATCAATAGATCAAGTTAGTTTCTGACAGTGAGAGATTTTCAAAATGATATACTCTTTGCTCTTTGTCTCTGCCCTCGCGGGCTCTGCGCTTGCCTTTCCTGGCCACCACAGCTTCACCAACTCGACCGTCCCCTCTCACCACTCATCCACTTATACTCTGCTTCCCACAGGCGGAGGAGGTGGTAAGCCTACTCATACCGGTGGCAATGGCAATGGCAATGGCAGCGGCACTGGCCATCCTCAGCCTACCACGACCGTCGTCCCTGGCGGTCCCTCTGGATCCGTCTCAACCGTCACCGAGACCATCACGAAGACAACGTTCAAGCCCTGCTCGACTCCCATTCACACTCAAAGTGGCACCACCTACTACAGCACCTGGTTGACGACCTCTACCTACGAGACAACCACCTGCTACACCACTCAACTCCCCACAACGATCCCACCTCCTCCCCAGACCACAACCGTCAACCTGCCCGGTCCAGCAAACAACTGCCCCCCTCCATCCACGGTCACCGTAACCGTCACTGTAGGCAGTGGCAGTGGCAGCGGCAGCAATCCCGCAACGCACACCCAGGCACCAGCACCTGGTGGAGGCAGCGGAAGCGGAAGCGGTACTGGTCCCGGACACTGCAAGCACTGCGAGACCATCACCTACACCAACACCTACGGGTACACGACGACTATCGTGATTCCCCCGATCTCTGAGCCCACGAGCACTGCTACCACGCACACCACGGAAACGGGAACGACTACCAAGCCTACTCCACCTGTTGGGACGGGCACTGCGCCCAGTCACAGTCACACTCACACTCGGGGATCACCGACTGGCACCGGGGGCGGACAGGCTCCTACCGAGACGAAGACGTGGCACTTTGAGAGGAGGATGGTGAGGGTATAGATATACAGGGAGAGGGAATTGTGGGTTTAAAGAAAGGATAGCGTGAGATTCTTATCTTTGTAGTAATAAGGTGAATATCATGGTGTTGGTGAATTATTTAGCGACTGCATCTCTTTTTGCACTTGGATATATCTTGTCATTGTTTATCACAGACATCAGCACCGCACTGCATATAGATTGTCATAGTAATGGTTGTTATCTAAGTATTGTGTTAGCTAGTGAATATAGCCTAGGTTCCCTCAATTCTCTTAGTTCCCTGACTGGTATATGTGAACTGTGGTCACTCATGCGCGGCCAACTATGCGCTCCAAGCTCCTTCCTGGACTCCTCCACCCAATAGGGCTAGTTTAACCTCCAGCCAGCGTACTCAATATGGGTTTATGTAAAGCATTGGGTATGTCTCTGGTACTCACAAACACTGGAATACCATCCATTCAGCCAGACCGGTCCTAGACAGTCACCTGGAAGAGATGTTTGAGTTACTCTTCTGTGCTCACCTGCTCTGCAGCGCATGAGCTCTAGTGAGTTCCTTTCAATCTTTACAAAGGACCAGTGATAGTAGATAAAGGGGAGTGTGGCAATGTGCACATTATCAAAGAGATAGCATGATGGCATAGGGAACTCTGACTTCATAATATATATCTACAGATTGTGTAAGTAAAGAGCGGAGTAATCCATGATTACTCAGAAATTATTCAGCACGTAGGCCCCACTTTTTTCCGTTCCGAATTCCGAGTGGGCTTACCGTACATTACCGTATATTACCGTACCGTTACATTGTGACCCACCGTTCTGGACAGTAGTTGCGGCCTGATTGGTGCCCGAGTGGTAAGGTAGCAGTATTCTGTTTCGCCTTCTCAAGTTTATGATGATTCATGATTTTCTGGGTTAGTCATGTATGGTCATTCAATGTCATGCATGAATCCTGGCTATCACATTGTTACATCTTGGTATATGTGTACCTGATATATATCAATATTCCAGTCGGCAATGTTGCTGCTCTGAAGAACCGAATCCGGGGCGGATCTCTGCCTCGTAGCGGGTCTATCCAGGTTCTTCCTGGCGATTGGTGCACTATAAGACAAACTATACAGGCTGACCCCACTTGGGAGCGGCCTTGACGTAGTGGGCGGACTATTGATCATAGGGGTTTTAGCCCGATATATATAAGCTACTCCCTGACGAGAAATTCATCTCGCGTGATCCTGCCGTGTTGGTTTCCATCAGGATATAGACTGCACAATAAATGCAGCAGACTATGCAGTCGAGCGCGCCGAGGAGGATGCCAATCCGGTCTCCTCGCGTGAGAGCCTCGATTCCTCCTTCAGTTCCAGCAGCGAAGGATCCCAGCCGCGGCTGCGAACAATGTACTCGCGACGCACCGAGACCGACCTCGAGCGGTATCAGACCTCGTCGCAGGTCATAGATCGGATCGAAACCCAGCGCCTGCAGCATGCGCTCACCGTCGGAGAGAGTATCAAAACGCAGACCCGAGCGTCTGCCCGCGGGCCTCTCCCCGCGTTTGGGGCAGGCAAGCCCTATCCCCCCCAATTGCCCAACCGGGAAGACTATGTGGTAGAGTTCGACGGGGAAGACGATCCGCTGTACGCTCAGAACTGGAGCACGCGCCGAAAGTGAGTTTCTGCTTCCCTTCGCCACCCACGGCATGATGTGGTGACGTTGATTTTCTTAGCCTTTGTGACTCTGTATAGACTCTGCACCGGTGCCATCCTCGCCTTCACGAGTATCTGCTCCACCTTCGACTCGGCCGTGTTCTCCAGCTCCACTGGCAACGTCGCGCGCGTGTTCGGCGTCGGTGTCGAGGTCGCCACACTGTCGAGTTCGCTGTATATCCTGGGCTACGCCTGCGGGCCGCTCGTCTGGGCGCCCTTCTCCGAACTGCAGGGCCGCCGGCTGCCCATCCTCATCGGGATGTTCGGCTTCGGGATCTTCAACACAGCCGTAGCCGTCGCAAAGGACCTCCAGACTCTACTGATCTGTCGCTTCTTCTCCGGCGTCTTCGGCAGCTGCCCGCTCGCCGTCGTGGCGGCCATCTTCTCCGATATCTTCGACAACCGGTCCCGCGGCATCGCCATCGCCATGTTCTCCAGCATGGTCTTCCTCGGACCCCTCCTCGCCCCCTTCATCGGCGGCTTCATCAACATGTCGTACCTCGGCTGGCGCTGGACCGCATACATCCCCGCCATCATGGGCTACGCCGCCCTCATCCTCAACTTCTTCTTCCTCAAGGAATCCTATCCGCCCGTCATCCTCATCTACAAGGCCGCCGAGCTGCGCCGCCGCACAAAAAACTGGGGCATCCACGCCAAGCAGGAGGAAATCGAAATCGACCTGCAGGAGTTACTCGTCAACAACTTCTCCCGCCCGCTGCGCCTGCTCGCGCACGAGCCCCTCATCCTCGCCGTCACCCTCTACCTCAGCTTCATTTATGGGCTCTTGTACTGCTTCCTGACGGCGTATGGCCTCGTCTACCAGAGCGTGTACCACATGAACGCCGGCGTCGGCGGGCTGCCGCTCTTCGGGATGGTCGTCGGCCTGTTCATCGGCGGCGCCTACATCTGTGTGATTGCCAGTAGATCGTACAACAAGAAGCTGCAGGAGAATGCCGGCGTGCCTGTTCCGGAATGGCGTCTCCCACCGGTGATCGCTGGCGGGGCGCTCTTCGCGGCGGGCATCTTCTGGTTCGGGTGGACGGGGTTCACGGCCGAGGTGCCCTGGATTGTGTCGACGCTTAGCGGGCTCTTTACGGGGTTCGGGCTGTTGATTGTGTTTATTCAGTTGTTCAATTATCTGATTGATACGTATCTCATGTTGTAAGTACCCCAGCCTTTAAGAAGGTGTTTCTTCTGACGAGTGCAGTGCGGCGTCGGCCATCGCGGCAAATACGTTCTGTCGGTCCGTGTTGGCAGCTAGCTTCCCGCTGTTTTCGCGGCAGATGTTCAATAGTATGGGCATTCAGTGGGCTGCGACGCTGCTGGGGTGTGTTGCGACTGCTCTGGTACCTATCCCGGTTATTTTCTATCTTTATGGGAAGCGGCTTCGGATGAAGAGTCGGTTTGCGCCGACCTTTGAGCTGGATGAGGCGGCGCATGCGCCGACGGAGATGACTGAAAACAAGGGGGGAGATGGCGCTAATGGGCAGACGGAGGAGATACGGCAGTCGTGAGCTTGTCGTCGGTCAAGATGTAAATATTGTTCCTACGTATATAACTATCTGCAGCTAAGCTGTGTCATTCGTTGCGATAGATCTAGTATTCGACCATGTTCCTGCACGCTGCTTTCTGTATTCCATTTCGACCATCCATGTGGTATACTTCAGGTTGACAATAGATCTTGACCTAAGGGATGCCGACGGTAGAGAGACAGAGCAGAGTAGAGAACTACACAAAACGAGGCAGCGCTATGCTTGCTGTAGTGTCCTGTTCTAGGTATCCAGAATAACGAAGAAATAACCAGAGCAGGCTATAGGCCTCATTTCCGAACCAAGTAGTCTCTCCATTAACATACCGGTGTCTCTGCGCTGAACACTGATTTCTGAGGACACTGATTCTGTATGAACGGATATGTCGCTTGTGGAGTTATCAATCATTTTATCTTTCTCTGTTGCCTGGTCCAGTTGCACCAAATGAGACAATTGCTTTGTTCGTATGTCTTTGTCTATTGTCTTCCCTTCGGCCGATTTTTCAAGACATCGTGCGGGACAATGCCTTTGTCTGCCTTTCCTACTGGCATGATATGAAGAATTCCTTGTTCTCATAAAGTGATGTCTTAGAACAGAGACAATTGATGCTTTTAGCTCTGTGCTATCATGGACTTTTCCATCAACTGATAATGAGGATGACGACACGGTAGAAGATGTCCTGTACAACAACGACAGATCGGAGACATGTACAACATGATTCAGAGACGTTGAAGAGGGTATGTCTTGTATATAGGAGAATGACTGAGACATTGGAGATGAGCAAAGTTATATAAGGACCGTTATTTCTCGACAACAGGGTCTATTCCACCTTCATCATCTCCATCTTCTCTCTTCTGTTTTCCTCATACAATCATCATCAGCATTCCTCTCAGACTTGCTCAGCTTTCCAAACAATTCCCCTTTGAGAGACCGTCCATGCCAACCCCGCCAACAATCAAATGGCGAACGAACCCCCCAGACGTCGTTCGTTGCTGGAGCTCCCTGCGGAGATCCTGCAGCACAGCTTGGGCTTCCTCGACGAGGAAGAGCTGCGTCGCATCGTGAGAGACGTGGAGGACCTCGCCTCGCACGCCAAAGAGGTAATCAAACTCCGATTCAGAGAGAAAAATACTTACACCCTTTCAGATGAGGCCGCTGTTCTCGAGCGCCGCGGGGGCAGGCTCCCCGACAACGTGCTCCCGACCAACCACCTCCGCCATCCGTGTGAAGTTCCCTTTGTTCGCGCTCCAGACACCATTGCCGGCATCATCAGGACCAATAACCTCGAGATCCTGAAGGTGCTTGTCGATGCTGGTTTGGACCTGATGTCCTTTAGCATGGGTGGCTGGCGCCTGCTAGGCCTGGCTCTCGCATGGGGTAACGAGGCTATTGCAAGGTACCTCATTGAGAAGATGAAGCCCGAGGACCTGCTGTATGGCGTCTGTCGCGTTGGAAGACGGGGCGAGCCGCCTAACTTCCTCACCTTGGCCGCGTACTACAGCGCCGACATCTTCCGCAGGATGTGGCAGCGAGTCCGCCGCCTGCCAAACTGGCAAGCCCAAATCACCGAAGTGGCTCGCTACCAGCTGTGCAGACACGCGGATGCGCTTCTGGCGTGGGACCTCGCCGAGGACGGCGTCGACATTGCAGTTTGCGTGCTGCCCTTCCTCGGGAGAAATGCGTGGCATGCGGCCGCCGAGTCCAACGACAACATGGACTTCTTCGAGTACCTGTACGGCCGCATTCCCGAGGCGATCAATAACGGCAGCGCGGAGAACGGACGCACGCCGCTGATGATCGCGGCCTCGGAGCAGTGGCATGATCGCACCAATGTGATCAGATGGATGCTACGCCATGGAGCTGATCCTGCGATAGAGGTTGGTGGGAGGACCGCGGCATGGTTTGCGAGCGCGGCGCACAACTTTCAGTTGGCCAGTTTGCTTTCCTCTTCCTCTTCTCCGTACTCTGAGTCGCTTCGGGGCTGATACTTGCAGGTTACTCCAACTGAGGCAAAATGGTACAGTACGTCTCGAACTGGTGCGACAACCTACACTCTTCGATTGTTTTGAATTCAACTACTAGTAAAGTTTCGATATGACTAGGAATTTGTATGCAAGATTGAAATTAAATGAAGGTCTGATTCTTTTTAATAAGTGACTAACTAAGCCATATTTATATCCCAAAATAAAGGTATTCAGATTTAAAATGATTCTGCATCAGCAAGATTAATTTAAGAATCATGATTCTATAGATTTCTAGTGGTTTCATGATTATCTTAGCTGAATCACCTATACTAGAAGGTTAAATAAGAGAAACATACCCCCCTAGCTAGCTAATAAACGCGACTCCAGAATAAACCAGCGGGTTAGCCGCCGCAATTGCCTCCATTCTGACCCATGCAAGCAGTTGAAATGTCTCTCTTATCCTTGCCGACCGAAATTCTATGTCTAATCGCAGAGGATGCAACTCTACAAAAGACATCGGTGGACTTGTCCAAACATGCCGTTTCTTATATTGTCATCTGATCAAGTGTCTCTATCAGCACGACGCAAAACACGGAAGTGGTTCGGCCGTGAGTTGGTCTGCAGTCACCGGCAACATGCGTACCCTGCAGCTCACTCTTGATTATGGGAGATATTCCGAAACCAAGCCCTATATCTTCCACCAGGCTCCCTCAGACGCTTGCACTCACGAACATCTCGCCGTAATTGATTTGATCAGTCGAACCCAACCTCGTATGGACTTGGGCATTGACTTTGGCCCTGTCATCCGGGATGGTAAGACGCAAGTGATCGCCTTGCTCCTCCAGGCTATGGCTAGGAGATCAACCAGTCAGAGGGAAACGAGCCTCGCGCGCCTCGTATTATGGAAGGCAAAATATTACGGCCAGTGCGATATGATCAAGTTAGTGCTGGAGAAGTTCCCCCGGCTGCATCTGGACCATGCCTTTGAGCTGGCAACATCCTCTGGAAACGACTTGGTGGTGAATCTCCTTATCGATACTGCTGTTAAACAAGGGAAACGTCTCTTCTCAACCAACAGAGACGAGTCTCTGCAAGTCAAGAAGACGCGAATACTAAACAACATTCCAACCCGGGTTATAAGGTCCAGTGCCGAGACCGAGTTCATTGTGGCGTGCTGGAGCGGTAACCGCGAAAGGGTAAAACAGCTGTTAAGAGATGGTATCTCGGCCGATCTGGAAGATGACGATGGCCGGACGCCTCTACAGATTGCCGTTTATTGTGGACATAGTGACCTGGTTCGACTTTTGTTGGAGAGCGGAGGACCGACAAACGCTAATTACGACCTTGCGCAATTAGCAGTTACTGAGGGCACATAGATGTGCTGAGAACCTGTTGAAGTATTACTACAAGCGGGCGCTCCACAATCTAGGGATGACTCTGGTAGGACGCCGATGTCCTATGCTAAAATCAAGAGATTGTACATCTCTTACAGCAATGGACGGCTATGGAAAAGCTATCCGATCATGTACTTGGTCAATGATTGAATGGAATCACCGAAAGCTATGGACTGCTCGAGGGGTAAATATGCATACATAATTAGCATCATGGGAACCGCAAATCGAGTAAGGTAAGAGTGGAGGAGAAGCAGCTGGGGTGATTATCATAGGTGACTGAGCGAATCAACGCAAAGCTGCCAACTATCCAGATCCCAGACCTTGGTCGATGTATATCGGAACTTCGGAAGTGAAGCTTGCATAAAGCAGGCAGGACATGAGCAAGCAGCAGCAGGCGTGGTAACATATAGCAGTGCATTATCCCTTACAATGGTGCCTAGAAATATCATTTTAGCGTGGAATCCGTGCACCTAATCTGATTGGCTGGCTCAGCAGGAGATAGATTAAATTAGTCTAATTAGATGGATTCCTCACTGTATTTATAGTAGAAACCCTGAATTTAAAGTCTATTCCCTCTACTATACAAAATTATATGTAATTTATAATAGTAGTTTAATTTTAACTTTTACTATTAACCTAACTATAGAAATCCTTCTAGCATGTATATTTTAAATTAGGTGGGCAGAGTGGCTGCTTACAGGCCTTATAATTTTATATAGTAAGGCTTGCTTTTAAAATCTATTAACTAGTAGTACCTTACTATTATATATAATTTATATAGAGGCACTATATATATATTATCTATAGGCTTTTAGGCCTTTACTCCTGTACATGCTTAAGAGAGCTATCTAATTAACTATTAAGAAGCTTAATATAGGTAGACTTACACTAGGGAGATCTAGTTAGGGGGGTCTAGTATTTAAATAGGGCCTGGTAAAGCCCCTATTAGAATTTAAGCTATATAGGCTATATAGATTTTAGTAGATTCCTTTACTATATATCTATATAGCTAATTTAATAGATATTAACTATAGCTATATTAAGAACCTATAAGAATAGTAGTTACTAAGTATACTAAGTTAGATAGTAAGTTTTATAGCTAGTATAAAGCTAATTAGTGATATTAACACCCCCTATATAATAGTTATAGTTATTAATAAAGTATGGAATCTCTAGTTTCTTAATAACCTTATCTCTAAAAATATCCTTTATAAGATATATATTTATACTAGTCTTAGATAGATGCTTCTGCACCTTTTTAACTAGGTCTTCTATCTTACTAACTATATAGACTATTATTAGGCCTAATATGATATTATTATCTTACTAGGTAAAGTAAAGGACTATCTTCCCTACTAAGGGAATTATATAAACCTTCCCCTAAGGGATATTATATACCTTATTCTTAAGATATATAAGCAGCTCTAGCTAATTAGGGCCTATATTAGTTAACTAAGTAGTGCTATATATACTAATTCTATACTAATATAAGATATTAAATAGTAAGATGCTAGTAAAGTAATTATTTATATAAATTATATAGTAATTTAGCTACAGAGGGAGGTATTAGAGGAGATATAATACTATAAAGCTAGTCTTAGTAAGATCTCTATAAGTAATTACTTTTAATAGGCCTTTAGTATAGCTTAAGGGTATAAATATCTAGATATAACTATAATTAGCTAAGATATATAGCTTATAGCCTTATTTAATTAGCTTATTAGGTATTTTATATATATAGAATGATTAGCTATAGTATTAAACTATTAACTTATTAATCAAGATATTTATTAAGGGCTAGTAGTATCTCTTAGAGGCCTCCTAGAAGTAAGATATTAATAGATTAAGTTTATACTACTAGATCTACCTAAGATACTTACTATTATACTAGGCTTCCTTAGCCTTAGTAAGCTCCTTATCTAGGGGGTAAGGCTTATATAGGTATCTAATATAGTAAGATAATATATAAAGATATTATTTAATCTACTTAAATCAAATAAGCCCTGTCACGGGCTAGAAGCCATGTAAATCTATAACCTAGATTTGGACAGTAAGAAATTACTAGAGAGTTCTAACTAGGGCCACAGTGGCTGAACATAAAAAGGAGTATGTGAATGGTAAGTAAGATCTATATAATAAAGTTAATTAGTATATTAATTATAATAGAGTCATATAACTGCTACTATCTAGGTTAGAAGTTTATTAGTACTTAAGGTAGATTATAAGGGCTTAGTAAGCATAAGCACTTAACAAGCCTTACCTATTATACTATCCCCTCTCCTAGATTAAGGCTAATAAGCCTCCAAAGCATTAAGCACCATAGTATTGATAAAGTTAATAGCTAGCTCCTATATGGGTTATTTATAGCTAATTTATTTAATAAGAAACTCCCTGTAATAGTCTTATCTAACCTATTTCTTATACTCTTATAATATCTCCTTAACTATATATTTAGTATTACTATTAACTAGTATAGCTAGCAGCTAGTAATTACTATTTAACTAGCTTAGAAATAGGTTATTTATAGTAGGATATAAAAGACTAATATAAAATATATTATATATCCCTGGGGGTAGACCTAGGCAGGTGTTCCGGGTAACCTAACTAAAACATGTATTAAACCTAACTTAGGCTGGGTTTTAGGCTCAAGGGGGGTGTTTTGAGTTGGGTTCTAGGCTTTTATATAGAACCTAGCTAGGTTTTAGGTAACCTAGTTAGGTAGATAAACTAGATAAACATTCTAGATTATATAATATATATTAATTATATAGTCCTATCTTATATTTATAGGTATTAAACTATATATATAAATATAAGCAGACTAGAATCCTAGTACAGGGCTATACTCTAACTATTACTAAAGAAGGAAGAAGCTAAGTATAGGTAGCTAATATACTAATTATTATAATAATTAACTCTTACTATATAACCACAGCTATATATATAATGCAGTGTATGTTATAGGTTAGCCTATAATACTAATAACTAATAATAAAGGAACTAATTATCCTCATGCCTTATATACTTCTAATTTTATCTAGAGATATGCTGTTATGTGTTAGGTAAAGAAAGAACTATTTTATTATCTAATAGAAAAGATTCCTAGTCCTCTTACTCTCTATTAGATACTATACTTCTTTATCTCTTACCCTGCACATGCTTAGATAGCTGCTAGGTAGCTAGCTAGTCTATACTAATCTCTAGGCTATTATCTTCTTTATTATTACTAATTAGCTTAAGGATATCTTAAAGCTATTATCTTTCTCTTTATTAAGGGCTTGCTATTCCTTATTTAAAAGATATTATTTTATAAGGGAAAGTTCCTTCTCTTCTACTTTAATTCTTAATATATATATAATAATATAAATAGTATTAGATCTTAGATTATTATAGAATTAAGTAAGCCTTAATAATAATAATAGATATCTTAAGTAGAATTAAAAAGCTACTTAATACTAGTACTAGTAGCTAGTATTAAGAGTATATTATATACTATTTTTATAAGAGCTAGAAATTTATATTTATACTTTTTTTAGAATATCTATAGGGTAATTAGGGCTATCTCTATTAGATAATATTAATTAGTAGAGTATTAGTAGAGATAATAATATTACTTACTACTCTTAAGATATTATATAGTCTTATTAGTACTTATTAATTAATTAAAATCAGAAGTAAAAAATATATTAATCTTTAATATTTAAATACTTAAAGATAATATCTATAGTAAGCCCTATATAGCTAATAAGTATTCCTTATAGAGACCTATATAGATCTTAAAGCTTTTATAATATTAATTATATAATTCAGGACCCTAATCCTTATTATTAAAGAACTAAAGCTTATTTTATAGTATAAGAATTATCCTAATTATAAATAGATTACTATAGATCTTATCTATTTCTCTATAGTAGATAGATAGCTTCTTCTTTACTATATAGGGAGTACTAAGTATAAGCTTCTTCTAGGCTATTTTCTTCTATTAAAGCTAATAAATTAATACTTTAAGATAATTAAAAAGTTTATTATAGATATTAAAGATAATATAAATAGTTATATCTTTTATTTAAGAGAGCATAGTAGTAAATTTAAAGAATAATTAAGTAATCTAAAGAAAATACTTAATTTAGTACTATTCTTAGACTGGCCATTGGGAAGGGATGGGAAGGGAATGGGAATTCCTACTACTAGTTCCCCTCCTATTTTGCCCCTAGTCATGGGAGTCCCATCCCAATCCTTAAAAAAATTAGGATTCCCTAATTAATATGGGAATCCTATATTAATTTCCCATCCCATTTTACTATAGGATTTGGGAGCCCATCCTATTTAGATAAGCTAGGGAAATCCCATGGGAATCCCTAATTTTTTAGGGATGGGAAGGGAAATCCCATAGGATCTACAAAACCTTAATTTATAGGGAATATACTGTGAGAAGCCGCGCCAGGCTACGAGCGATTCCCAACTGAGGCAAAAGACCTACTATGTTTAAGTTTTTAACCCCTATGGTTAAACATGCCTGGCTTCCATATATATATCTTTAAGGCTTACTAGATGCCCTAACATTTATCTCCCCCTTTCTAGGGCACATCCTGGGCCCTTAGCCTTGCTGCTAGGTTCTAAGGGAAGCTGGTGATGCAGGCTCTTTAGCCTAGGCAAATCTATGCTTTTTTTTTTATATATATGGGCCCCTAACTGCTGCCTCAATAGGGAATTAGCCCTAAGGGGTGGTTATCAGCAAGGGTTAGTCTATTAGTAGTCCCTCCTAGGATTAAACCCTGACACTGCCTCACTAATAGGGGTTAAACATACTTGTGAGAAGCCGCGCCAGGCTATAAGTGATTCCTAACTGAGGCAAAAGACCTACTATGTTTGACCCCTATGGTCAAACATGCCTGGCTTCCATATATATATCTTTAAGGCTTACTGGATGCCCTAACATATACCCCATAAATTAAGGTTTAGGATTCCCATGGGATTTCCCT